TGAGTTTTAGTAGTGCTCTTAACACATGAAGGACTAGCTCATCCAAAAATAAAAATGTACTCACCCTCAGTCCAAGATGTAGATGAGTTTGTTTCTTCATCAGAACAGATTTAGAGAAATGTAACGTTTCATCACTTGTTCACCAATGGATCCTCTGCAGTGAATGGGTGCCGTCAGAATGAGAGACAAACAAATGATAAAAACACCAGAATAAGCATCTATGATAAGAAATAGATAAAACCATATTTTTCACATCTTACTTATTATTTTCACATTTTAAAATATATTTTCAAGATAAATATATACTTTTTTTAACGTATCTTGAATTATTAATCAGAAAATATTGTTACGTTTTTTTGGGGAGTCCCACCACATGACGTTTTACAATCCTGAAACTTTCTGTGTCATAAAAAGGTCAAATGATTTGATTATTGACTTATTGACCTTGACACACAATCATGAAGGTCTGCAGGAATCCCATATGGTATGGTTTTATTTCTGCATCTTGGTTATACCAATTGAGTTGGTCACACCTCATGGCTTTGATTTGGTGGACAAAGGCATTTTATATATTAATTAAGAGTGAAGCAGTTTTGTTAAAATATTTTAGGCCTAATTTAAAAAATAAAGTCATTTTAATAAATAATTTTTTTATTCATTATAATTTCAGAAAAAATGAATCAGTCTGACATTTTCTATTTAACTGAACAAAGAGAGCAAATATGTAACTGTTTTATCTTCTTGGTAAATGTCCAGGGTAATGGAATGTGATTTGGCCACACAGAACTTTAAATCTTTGTCCAAGATGGTTTTCATGACACGAAGCCCTGAGGGTGAGGAGGTCAGAATGTGCCCTGCTTTCTCTCTCTTCCTTTGCACTGCAGTTTCCTACACTATCGTACCGGGGCAGCTGATCAGTCTCAAACTGACCGTGACTGCAGAACAGACCTCAATCAAACATCCATGTCTCCGGATACATTAGTCATTGCTGTGCTGCTGAATGTGATGAAGCAGGAAGCATCAATCTTTCCCAGTAATGTGTTTACCTACCGTCATGAAGACTTTAAACACCAAGACACAGGTCACACCAGTTTAGAGTTCACCAGAGGTCAAGTTTACTTCCGAATGGTGTCCACACAGGATGCTGCCATTTAATACTCAGTATTACGTATGTTTTCAAGACTATAAGTGCGACAGGATGAGTTTTAGTAGTGCTCTTAACACATGAAGGACTAGCTCATCCAAAAATAAAAATGTACTCACCCTCAGTCCAAGATGTAGATGAGTTTGTTTCTTCATCAGAACAGATTTAGAGAAATGTAACGTTTCATCACTTGTTCACCAATGGATCCTCTGCAGTGAATGGGTGCCGTCAGAATGAGAGACAAACAAATGATAAAAACACCAGAATAATCCACAAGTAATCCACACAACTCCAGTCCATCAATTAACATCTTTTGAAGCAAAAAAACTGTGTGTCTGTAAGAAACAAATCCATCATTAAAACGTTTTTCAATTTAAACAGTTGTTAAAATACAAGTCCTCTAATATTGCTTCCTCCAGTGAAAAAGTCATCTCGTCTGAATCAGGAGAGAATTATGCACAGATCAAGTGTTTACAAGTGAAAACAGTCCAAAACAGCTCTAAACAAATGTTTTTATCAGCTGTTTGGACTCTCATTCTGACGGCACCCATTCACTGCAGAGCATCCATTGGTGAGCAAGTGATGTAATGCTACATTTCTCCAAATCTGTTCCAACGAGAAACCAAACTCAGAAACATTTCTCAGGCATTTCAAACTCAGAAATGCCTGAGAAATGTTTCAGCAAATTTAAATTTTTAGGTGAACTGTTCTTTTAACTTACACATATCTTATTCATCATGGGGTGAAAACATATCTTCGGTGTTCAAAAATCTGAGACCATTTGTGAAAATGTTTCTACTTTGCATTTTATGTACTCAGCATAATAATTTTAGAACACAGTTAAAATAATTTTTTTTATTTAATTTCAATATTTATTATCATCCTTTATTGTCATCCTTTTGCATTAATGACAGCAGAACTCAAACTGCATGAACTTTGATGTTTGTAAAAACAAACAAACCATACTTTTCAGATCCTTTCAGATATGCTTGTTTGATTAGTGACACAGAAAAAAAAGCATAATCTTAACTATTTTGTTTGATTTCCTAGCACTTTCAACGTAAATATTTAAAATCTTAAAAAAAAAAAAGAAAGCTTATTTGCAGGTTTAAATGAAAAGAAAAAAAACATGTTGGGTTTCACTTTGGACCGCACTGAATATGGCAAAATGATATGAAAAACAGAGCTTTCTCATCTTTGTTCTGTCAGATGTCAGACACGTCGCAAACCACCTTAAACAATATTCCTGAAACATTGGATCACCTGCTGCTGTCTAGTCAACAAGGCAATAAACACATTTTCCCTAAACAGGAACAGTGCGTTCAATCATTCCACCAGATCCGTAGGTGCTACGCCACAAAAATGTCCTGCTGAAGATGAGGTGGAGAACACCAGGTGTTTGTGAAGGCCTCCTGATGGGTCACTGCAAGATGCTGCTGTAGATTATGACCTTTTAAACTGGATTCCTGCACTTTATAGGACATCTTGCAGAGTAAAAGTACAGTTTATTTCACCCACACGATTAGTGATCACTTTCTCACGTGTGAAGTTACAGGTCCATTTGAACATATGAGACCCTTTAGTCTCTGTAGTTTTAATTGAATAGACAGTTATATTTATATATTTATATCTATATACACTAACGTTCAAAAGTTTGTGGTCAGTAATATTTGTTTTTGTGAAATTAATACTTTTCATGCATTAAATTGATCAAAAGTGAAAGTAAAGACATTTGTAAGGTTATCATCAGATGATCCTGAAAAAATGTCACAGTTTCCACAAAATATTAAGCAGTATAACTGTTTTCAACATGGATAATAATAATAATAATAATAAATGTTTCTTGAGCATCAAAGCAACATATTAGACTGATTTCTGAAGGGTCATGTGACACTGAAGACTGGAGCTTTACCATCACAGGAATAAATTACATTTGAAAACAGATTCAAATTGAAAACAGATATTTAAAATTGTAATATAATTTCACAATATTACAGTTTTTACTGTATCTATTAAAATTAATATTTTACATTGGCAAAACAAAATTGTTAATGTACATCAAACAAAACTGCACATATACTTTTTAAACGTACCCAAAGGGCATTTAGAATTTTTTTTAGACAGCTCCAGACAGCTCATAGTTTTGGTTGTATAACAAGTATTAATGATTACAGGATGTTTCTTCACCTTAAACACTTGTTTTACCCACTAGACAGACATCCGACAACATGTTTACACATTGTGAACTCGAAAAGCTTTAGACAAAAGCATTTCCGCACGATTAAGAGCTGAGGAATGTTGTTGTGCATAATTGAGGGTCATCAAGGTGCATATTTCTCACCGTCTTTCTTTGTTTTCCATATATGCCACTCCTTGATCTTTGCGGGCTCACTCTCATAAGCCCAGCAGGAGCTGGGACAGGGACGCGGCCCGTGTTTTGATGTGGTTTGGACATAGACAGTTTGCATGGGCTCCTGAATACCGGAGATATTTCCCTAGCCATTTGATTCAGTGCTCTCAGGTCTCTCAGCAGTTGTTTGCATCCCAATCATCTTGTGCAACTATAAGGATTTTTTCCCCTCCACAATGCTCCGAACTAAACTTCAGTGCATCCAGCAAGCAAATCCATTGTAAAAGGCCTTTGAATGAGCAATAACCAACTATTTTTCAGTTTGAAATTTGACCCTAACAGACATATAGTTATGATCCAGGGTATGAACAAGAAAATGTTTGCTTTATAGCCCTATAAACGTTTTGTAGCTTAATGACTATATTCGTCTTTCTGATTAATTTAACATTAGGTTCAATTAGAGATGTTGAACTCATCAAAAAACTGAATGGGTCAAGTCAACTAGAACTACTGGCCATCTAACAGAGATTACACAGACCAAAAGCATTTTATTGCTCCGATTCTTATACAAACATTTATGGTATCGTACATGCATAGCGGCGAGTCTGAGTTATGGCTGTCAGTAAAAAGCATATCACATGCAACTATTATAACACATATGCTACGGTTAAAAGGTTTGTGGCTGGTAAGAATTTTTAATGTTTTTGAAAAAAAGTTTCTTATGCTCACCAAAGCATGCATTTAAAAATAGAAACATTGAAATATTATTACAACTGAATTTTTAAAAATGTTATTAAAATTGAAAATTATTGTAATTTAATTTAAAACGTCATTTATTCCTGTGATGCAAAGCTGAATTTTCAGCAGCCATTGCTTTTAGTAATTTGAATAGACCTCCCAAACAAGTATGAATAATATAGGATATTACATCTATCTTTTTTTCCCGAATAAAATGTTTTTGAACCTTTCTGTAAGAGTAGTGGGAGGCTGTTTTCTGAATCAAATGCATCCATATGCACGTGTTACCAATGAAGGCTTCTTTGTCATGAGGGAAAGGAAGAGAAAGTGAGTGAGCGAGTGAGTGAATGAATGAGAAATGCAAGAAACAGCAGTGCAAACACTGCCTGCATGCCATTAATAATGGGAAACACAAACAGCAGATGATATAACTGTAATACAGAGTTCCATCCCCCCTGTGCAGAGGGCAAATGAACAAACAAGAGGTGCCACAGAAACATCCTGAAGATTTATGACTCTGAATTCCTCATGTCTCTATCCTGAGACATGCTCTGTCCCCTCTCTCTCTCTCTCACACACACACACACACATACATTTACTAACGATCCAAATGGGGACATACCATAAACTGTTTCTATACTAAGCCAATTAATCACTATGGCTACTGATAACTTCATTACTAATTTAAATTAATTTTGAAAATGAAAGATGCTGATATACTGTGATTTTTTATAAACAAAGCATTTATTTAAAAGGCAAAAAGGATGGCGTACATTTGAAACCGTTTATGAGCAGCACATTAGTGCTTTGATTTGAGCCAGAGCCTGATGAGGCAAACTGAGCACCGATTGCTGAATCTGCTTGGAAAGCCAACAGTACTCAGTCTTGGTGTTTTGCATGCTTGGTCTCCGGTGTGTTGTTAAGCTTGGAGAAGTGTTCCGACAAGGCTGCCAGGGCACGGTACCGATGAGAGATGCTGTTCTTCACTGCTTTAGGGAGCTCAGCATAACTGCCCACAGAAACACAGCACAGAGGAATGAGAAAAACAAAATCACCATCAAATTAAAAAGGCTTTAAGTGCTAAGTTTATCTGACAAATTTATTTGGGATTCAATTTAACCTATTGTTGCCAGAAAAATACTCAATGCTTCTGTTTCCTCGTCAATGTTTCATTCTCTGAGGAGAGTACAACAATTTTTTATAAAGCGTCTTACAACATGCATTCTTATACTGTGAACACGTGGACTATAGGAAAAGTCTTTCATAAATATTTGTAGATTTGGTTAAATCAAAGCACAAGTATTTTCAGAGGGATTACTTTGACCAATACGGTCACCTACTGGTATACCTGAGAAACACAACTGCATAGCTAAAGGGTTAGTTCACCCAAAAATGAAAATTAGCCCATAAATTACTCACCCTCAAGTCATCCTAGGTGTATATGACTTTCTTCTTTCATACGAACATCCAGTCGGAGTTATAATAAAATTTGTCTTTGATCTTTCAAGCTGTTTAATGGCACTCAGCATGTGTTGCATGCATCAGTCCAAAAGAAGTGAAATAAAATGCGGCCATCCATATATATATAAAAAAAAAAAAAGTTTCTCACACGGCTCCGGGGGGTGAACAAAGGCATTCGGTAGCGAATTGATGCGTTTTTGTAAGAAAAATATCCATATTCAAAACGTAATAATCACTTTAATCTAGCTTGCGCTCACTGTTGTACACTGGAAGCAGTTCCGGGAGCATGACGTATGAAGTCAGCGTTGCGAATGCGCCGGTGAGCCTCGTGAAATCCAACGTTTGTTAACAGGAGCAAAGGAAGCTAAGTTTCCTTACTTTAGTAAAGGAAAACCAGTCTCCTCTTGGCTTATTTCGAAATCCTCCGACTTTCTTCTTTACAAATCCTCGTTTTGTACTTCTAATTAGTGACCGTTGTTTTGGTTTGATCTCTCCACTGCGTTTCCGCGTTCGTCACTTCTGAGCGGCGCAAGCGCAAAGCTGACCTCATACGTCATCCGCCCGGAACTGCTTCCAGTGTACAACAGTGAGTGCAAGCTACATTAAAGTGATTATTACGTTTTGAATATGGATATTTTTCTTACAAAACATGCATCGATTTGCTACAGAAGGCCTTTGTTCACCCTCCTCCCCCCCGAGCCGTGTGAGACACTTTTTTTTTTATGGATGGGTGCTTTTTATTTCACTTCTTTTGGACTAATGCATGCAACACCTGCTGAGTGCCATGAAACAGCTTGAAAGATCAAAGACAATTGTTTATATAACTCCGACTGGATTCGTCTGAAAGAAGAAAGTCATATACACCTAGGATGACTTGAGGGTGAGTAATTTATGGGCTAATTAAATTTTTGGGGTGAACTAACCCTTTAAGAAATGATACTCACGTTTTTTCATAGCCATCAGGCTGAAAACAAGGATCCCAACCAAAATCCCTTGGGCCCCTGGGCTCAACAATACGGCCCTGAAAAAAATGATTAGAAATGGTGAAGGTAGGAATCAAAACCTGCATGCTATAGTGTTCAATTTAACACATTGAGTCAGTTATACTACCCGGCAAAAGTTTGTGGTCAGTAAGATTTTCTTTTTAAAGAAATTAATGCTTTTACTCAGCAAGGTGACATCAAAAGTGACATCAAAGGCATTTATAATGTTACAATAGATTTTGAATAAATGCTGAACTTTCAATTTATCAAGAAATTCTGAAAAAAAAAGTCACAGTAGTTTCCACAAAAATATTAAGCAGCACAACTGTGATAACAATTGATAACAACAACATTGAATTTGTGACAACACTGATAATAATAATAATAATAAATGTTTCTTGAGTCGCAAATCTGCATATTAGAATGATTTCTGAAGGATCATGTGACACTGAAGTCTGGAGTAATGATGGTGAATATTCAGCTTTACATCACAGGAATAAATTACATATAAAATATATTAAAATAGAAAACCTTAAATAGAAGTTATTTAAAATAAATGTATCCCTGGTGAGCATAACATGCTTATTTCAAAAACATTCAAACATTTTACTCACCCTTAAGTTTTGAGTGGTAGTGTACATACATCTGTGGTGCTTATATACAGTACATCTGGATTCAGTTTATTTATTGATAATGATAGTAAAGACAGAAAATTATGGGGAAACAATATGAGAGAAATAATGAGTCTCAATCTTACAATGCCTGTATGAGCACCAAAGCTCAATGTAAAAACCACTACATCACGACTGGGACGGGACAGTAAATAAACATGCTCACCTCGGTTATTCCTCTGAACAGCTGAACTGGCTTATCTTTTCCAGCACAGAAAGCAAATGTACACAGAGCCCAGGCAGATTTATCCTCAAAACCTGCTAGCAATTTACACAATCCTGCAAACATAAAGAAAACGGCTCAATTTGCATATTACTAATTTAGCCTCTGCAGTAAATATGACTTATTAAGAAATAAAGCGAAATAAAAATAACATAAAATAATAATATTAAGGGTAAAAACCTAAAATTAGAAACATTGACTTGGCAACTAACTGAAATCATTTTAAACTTAGTTAAAGCACTAAGATTACTAACTTGAAAAGAACAAAAACTAAAACTAAAATCATAAAAAATGACTGAAAATTCAACTAAAATAGGAGTAGGTTCAGTAGGAACCTAAATCTTTATTAAAGTGACTTACCCTCTGGCTTCAGTTTATCCAAGAACCATTTTCTGTGGAGGGAAAAACATTTATAATGAATTACTATAAATTATTTAATGCAGTATACATACACCATATCACTGTTTTTTATATTTACAGATTTTAAAGGAGCTTGAGCGAGACTCACATGTAAGGTCCTGGTAGTCCTCCTAGTGCCCTGAAGCACAGACAGGTGTCCTCCACCAGCACTGGCCCATCCACCTTCACACAAAACACACAACATCATGTCTGAGGCTTCAACCAAGGAAACAGAGTACAAAAGGTGTGCAATTTACAAACCTGCCTTGCTGCTTCTTGACATTTATGTATAGAAATGTCATCTGGTTCCCCTTGATATTCAGGCACTGGAAGAGAAGCCATAATCACATAACAAATACAGCAACAGCATGCTTGATATTGTAAATCAACAAAGCAGAAGAATAATAGCCAAATACTTACAGTCAATCTTCTTGGAAATCAGTTTGTAGGGAAATTTGTCACCAAGGATCTGAACTACCTGCAAAACAGGTAAAGCAGTTCCTTGAAGCTGAAAACATTGAAATAATGAAATGGCCGTCCCAAAGTCCTGATCTAAACCTGATCGAGTCTCTGGAAAATCCTTGGCGACAAAAGTTATGGCTAAGAAACCCACTACAGTTACCGAACCGTGGAAGAGAGTGGAAGAAGAGTGGACCAAGATCACACCAGCGCAGTCTGAGAAACTGATGATGTTCTGCAGCCGCAGATGTGCTGAATTCATTCAAAGCAGGGGCTTCTACACGTCCTACTAATTTCTGACAGCTGTAACCCTCCAACATTTTTGTTGTAATCTTCTTTCGTGCTACAGTTGTTACTCTGCTCTAATTCTGATCACTGTGTTTTCCACAAAATAAAGGTTTTTGTTGAAATGCATTGGAAAGTGTCAAACATGGTAGTAAAACAGTGGTAAACCTACAGCTAATATTCCTTCAGATTGTAAGCGATGAAGATACACTATATTTCTCAAGAATTTATAGATGAAGTATATATATATATATATATAAATCTTCAGGTATTGTTTTGTTGCTAATTCCTGCAAATAGCTCGAACGTGTAACGTTACATTAAGTCAATTTGAATATAAAAATGGTCTTTAAGGCTATATAAACCACTAACTAAATAGGCGTTTATTTAGGAGTGAGGACTGGGCTTGGCATTTCACTAACGTTATATAAATTATGATGCTTCACAAATCAAATCTTACAGTGTTTCGCGGCATGTGAGCAGAGGCTATTCATTCAAAGCAAAGCAAGACCAGACACTTATTCACATTTTGTTCTACATTGTGTTTAAATTGGATAATTTGTGGCCGACTCATTTTTTTTTTTTTAAACAGCCACACTCTCACCTCTTCCAGTTTCTTCGCGTTCCCGGTAACGAATACCACAGCTCTGCCGGTAGGTACTGCCATGCTTCAGCCTGCCACACACGACAACTTAGGAACCCCAACCGAGGTGGTACTAAAAAAAGTACCAGGTACTGTACCCAGTGGAAAACCCCCCAAATGTGAACCGTACCGAGCCGTACCGTGCAGTGGAAAAGCGCCATTACTGTCGGAACTATAAAACATTCGGCTGTCATTCCATAAACCAATCGTATTCATCGATCTAAAGTTTTCACCAATCAGAGAACGTTTACGCCACACTCTAGACACGCCCTCCTCATACACTGACCAATCGCTGGATGCCCAATGCCGTCCTTCTGTAAAGCCATCCGGGTGGAAAGTGCAAAACATGTGAGAGAGACTGCAGAATAGAAATAATTTCGGCAGTATTTGCCCATTGAAGTACTAAGTAAATTAGTTTTATCGGCCTGGGATAAAGGTTATAATTCATCTGATAAATCTGAATCGAGAAGGAGTTGGAGGATCCGATCCATAAGCATGAGCTTGCTGCCTCGCACCGCTGAGGAGTTCAGCTCGGCGGACTACTGGGAGCGCTTTTTCCGCTAAAGAGGAGAGCAGGCTTTCGAGTGGTACGGAGACTACAACTCCCTCTGCGGTGTACTGCATAAATACTTTAAACCTCGTGATAAGGTAACGAAGACATCGTAAGCACCAAATCAGCATAATAGAAGGATCCTGCGACACTGAAGACTGGAGTAATGATGCTGAAGATTCAGCTTTGCATCACAGGAATACATCACATTAAAAAATATAAACGTGTTGTTTTAAATTGTAATGATGTGTCACAGTTTCATCTTCTTCTTCTTCTTTTTTTTTACTGTATTTTCTTTTTATTATGAAATACCACCCCGAAACTTTTGAACGTTTAAAAAATGTATATAATGCCATAATATCAAACATGACTTTTTTTCTTCTTCTTTGGAACAAAAAAGAATTGAGAAATTTTGAAGAACTTTGAATCGATCTGTTCTTTTTCACACTTGCAAATGATGTAAATGTTATTAAATATATAAAATTACAGGCCTCTCTCATCTTTTTAAGTGGGAGAACTTGCACAATTGGTGGCTGACTAAATACTTTTTTTCCCCCACTGTGTATATACAGTATATATATATAAACACACATACATTTTATATATATTTTCATTTAGCAGACGCTTTTATCCAAAGCGACTTACAATTGGGGGATACATAAAGCGATTCTTCTTAAAGAGGCAAACAGACACAGGAAGTGGTTGTATGTGTTCTTTGAAGATCAGCTGGTATATATATATATATATATATATATATATATACTTTTTTTCATTAATATATTTTTATTTTTAGTTCCTCAGGGCTGTGAGTCTGATTGGTTATATGGCTCTGCTGAAGGTCGGACTCAATTAGCATCCAGTGCAAAATTCAGACGCCTGGTCATTGTGGCAATGCATCGAGATCAGGAGTATATGAGAGCATGCAGGCTGTCCAATCAGAGCTCTCTCCAGTGGTGATGGAACTCGCTCCTCCTGGAATGCCAGCCAATCAGCAGGTGCACAAGAATAAAATGCATCTGTATTGCGCTTTATATTGTCCTCATTCCTCACTCATGCACTCTCTCACATTTTCTCTGGTATAGGTGCCGTTCCTGTCTGTGGGAGGAGATCTGGGGTGGAGGGAAGTCATCGGACGAGGGGTCAGTGCTTTGACTGGAGAGTATTCTGTGGAGGATGTGAGCGGAGAGGATGGTCACCTCTATCGCAGGCTCATCTGACTGTGGTCTGCCGCCACAGGTGTGGTACCGCTGTGCTTGAATTCTGAAATGTTTATAGAACAACTGGAGATTTATTTCAGTGTTTGGTCTCTTTTGCTAGCTTCTTCTGCTCATAAAAAGAAGAAGAAAAAATCCAAACCGTCTGTTTCTGAAGTCCCTGCTTTAACAGATGCTAAAGATCGCATTGCGGACAGAGGTTTTCTCTGCTGTACACACCATGAAGTCATGGTGGCGGGTTTAGCCATGCTAGGAATGGATGCAATCAATAATAAAGGTAAGTGTGGTAACATTAAAAAGTTTAGTGAAAGTTTAGAAATGTTACATTCGAAAGCAGTGGTATCGTTGAACTTTTTTTAATTAAAGGTGTTAATTATGAGGTGTGTATTTAAAGTACTATAGCCATATCCTGGCTAAATATGCATACAACAATATAAGCCTTGCTTGACGTATACATTACTGTTCAAAAGTTTGAGGTCGATAAGATTTTTTGAAAGAAGACGGTAAAAACAGAAATATTTTGTACTGCTATGCCAATTAAAAAAATTACTCTTTTAAATTTTAATATATTTTAAAATGTACTTTTTTTATTGCCTGTTAGGGCAAAATGCTGCTTAATATTTTTCTGGAAACCATGATACATTTTTTTTCAAGATTATGTGATGTATAGAAAATTAAAAAGCATAACATTTATTTAAAATAGAAATATTTTGTGACACTATTTATGTCATTTTTTATTTAATTTGTCCTTCCTGAATAAAAATATTAATTTATTTCCATAACTAAATAAATAAGGTGAATGACCCCAAACTTTTTAATGGCTATGTAACAAATTAATTAATAATATTACAACTATTCATTTAAGAGTGTATATACTGTGGCTCTTTTGAGCAACCTGTATCGTGTTTGCAGTTCTGTTTGCAATTCTGCTGCTACTAGTACAACAGAAATTAAAGAAAAAATAGTTCACACCCCCAAAAATGAGGTTGTAATTACAGTATTTTTTTCATGGAACACAGAAGTATCGTTATGCAGCTTTTGTCCTACAACATCAGTTCATAGTGACCAGGGGCTGTCCAAAAACATCTAAAATAAATAACATCCTCATAAAGGTTTGTAGTGTGTGTGTTATATTGCAGAGTATGATAGCTTTGTGTATGGAACGGACAGAAAATTTTGACCTTCCCTAAATCTTGCGTCTAGCCTGTAGAGCTGCACGATTAATCACCCATGCAATCTTATTCCTAAATAATAATGATGTCTATGAACCCCTTGACAAGTACGATCACAACAGAACAATCAAATCTGCATTCATGCTGCCGGTGACCCAGAGAGAACAGTTGTCATGTTTAGGTATGAAACAGCTTCACAGATAGTTAAACCACACAGTATTATTTCTGTGTTACAAAAAGCCCAATTATCACAGAAGGACTGTGATCATTATTTTTAGTTTGGATAAAAACACTGGTAGTTCTACGGTAGTGATCAAAATAAAGTAAATTAATCACCTTTTAAACAGTGACTTCAAATAAAGAGTGTATCAATGTTTCGTTACGCCAGTAGGTGGCGACAAGTGACTGAATTTTTTTTTAAATTTGTAATTGAATAGTTTTTTTTGTTCAAAAAAGCTGATTCATTCAAGTTAGGTCTTTATGAATAAGTCATTGACTCTGTTTTAAACAAAAAAATCATGATTCTGCATTTATCCAGAATTGTGCAGCTCTACTAGCACGTATCCAGAATTGTCTAAATGGCCTATTCCTTATTCAAAGAAGTGCATGAATCATATGGACCACTGTTATGGTGTTGAATGTCAGTTCTCCTCAACGATTTGCATAATTCACAAAAACACATGTCTGTCACATGTTCTCCAACAGATCACCCAATGTCTGTGTTACTGGTGGGACTGGGTAGCGGTGGTTTACCCCAGTTTGTGCATGACTTTGTGCCGTTTGCACGGGTTGAGGTGGTTGAACTGGACCCAGCTGTGCTGGAAGTGGCTCAGTCCTGGTTTGGATTTCAGACTGACGAGAGACTGAAAGTTATACTTGGAGATGGACTGGAGCACATCAAAACTCTGGAGAGTAAGGGTGAGAGGACATCTAGATTTAGTCATTCTAAACCTTTTTGACTACAAGGCCTCCTGTTATCCATAACAATAGTCGAAGACCCCATGCCTTTTCCATTTGTTTGCGATTTACTGGAGAAGGATAACATTTTTTACAAATCAGTTTTGCTCTCAATTTCAACAATTTTAGAGCTTGGCATAACTAAATGTATATCCGTTGAAAAACAGCCTATGCTGTTTATTGTGTGAGATTTTATTAATTTACATGACTTTGCCAGCCTGAAAATACATTTTTAAAATTGACCTCATATATCCAGATTTTCCGCAAAAAAAAAAATGTTGTTGAGGAAGTTAATTACAATAAATATCGACATAATTTGTGTTGTTGTTTTTAGCTCATTAACATTTCTTTTGTCTTATTTGAAATCATTTTAAGTCATCTGGAGGTTTGCTGATTTTGCTGATGCCCTTTGGTTAAAAAATAACTGATCTACTGTAGACTCATCAGGTTTTCTTAAAATAAAAAAAAAGTTAGCGAGTGCTTTAATGTCATAAAAAATGAGACAACATAATTGATCCGTGTACAAATAATGTATACTGTAGATTTCAATAGTTTAGCAAATCAAAATATAAATAATCTGCATTCATCTACATGATGATGATGATTTGTTATGCTTCTTGGTGCGTGGGAGAATCATGATATCTATTGGTCATGTTTTATGTGGAAGAGATTGCATTACAGACTGCATTGCACCAGATAGCCTATTCTTTCTCTACTATATTATCTATTATGTTACTATATCTACTATATTATTTTTTCTGCACTTATATAGGAGGACATTCTTTTGATGTCATCATGTTTGACGTTGACAGCAAAGACACGACCCTGGGCATGAGCTGCCCTCCATCTGCCTTTGTAGAAACATCACTTCTGAAGAAGGTTTACAGCTTATTAACCCCTCGAGGCAAGCACTTAGTGTTGTATGATCAGTTTCAGACATCTGGCTTTTTTTCCCCCCATGATCACTCTTCTTTTCTTTCCCCCACAGGACTGTTCATGTTGAACCTAGTGTGTCGTGACTCGGCTCTCAGGAAGTCAGTTCTCAAACGTGTTCAAGTCGTGTTCCCGTGTGTGTTCTCTCGTAGAATCGAGGGTGAAGTCAATGAGGTGCTGCTGTGCTGCAGAAGTGCAGGAGAGGGACACAAACCTCACAGCATTCCACAAACGTTACAGCAGACAGCAAGAGACCTACAGAAGACACTACGTGCCAACACCCAGACTGCACCATGTGTGCCTCAAATAGACATTACTGCAATGCTGAATGACCTGAAAGTGATCTAAAGATTGAGAAAAGGTTGGAGCGAAAACTAAAAATAATAATGTGACAAATGTGCATCATATTCAAGGTTAAGAAATTAACTTAGCTGTAATCGTATGTTGCCAGACCTTTGACGAAATGGCATACAGCCTGGTCCATATTTCAGCTTATTCTGGAAACAACAAAACAAAACATCTACTTAGAAGGGAAGGGATCGTCTGACTGATATTTAAAGCAACCATCACAGTTTGTTTAGACATTGCGTAGCATTTAGGGAAAATTCCATCTGAAATAAATGAAACCCTTCTTTTATAGCCCATTTTCAAATGTTTAAACATATATTGTGTATATATGAAAAATATAACAACCTTTATCATTGAAGATCTATATCTAAATGGAAAGACCATCAATAGACATTTAAAGACTCAAATTATTATCAATACAACATGCAAAACCATCGCACTTCATAGGACAAATAATAGGGACTACACTTTATGTTCAGATGAAAATAAGACTCCCTGCTAGGGTCAGTACACTGAAACGAATTTGGAGGTGAGACCGTTTTCACTCAGAAATTGCTGATAAATTTACAAATAATTACAAAGAAACAGCAAATAACATTACATTTTGAGGTAAAAAGACTGAAATACTAATTTCTTGTCAAATAATATTTTCGTAAAAACTCCAATAATGTTTGTTTTATTGACAACTTAAAAAGATCAGTTTTAGAGTGCATATCATACATGTATTTAAATTAAATATCTTTTTCTTTTGAGAAGTGTTATATATCAGTTATGTTCAGGTAATGGTAGGTTTTAGGAATTCTTTACTCACTGACACAAATATAAATGAAGTGTTCTGTTGTAAAGGGAAATGCACTGTAGAATGCATACAGAAGCAAACTATCTGGCAACCCTGTAATGGCTGTGCAGTGTTATTTTTACTGGATGAGTCTATTGTACTGAAATGAGGGTGGATGTACCCTACAGTGTCATGCACTGAGGGGGGGGGAGCCATAAAAACAAACTAAATGATAAACATATAGCAGCAGGCTACTACCTTGATGTACATAACTATCCTAGTTTGCTTTTAAAGTATGGAAACAATTCTAATATAAACAATTCTCTTATATATATATATATATATATATATATATATATATATATATATATATAATGTAGCTTTGTTTGCCACTTCGGTTTTTTTTTTTCTTTGGTGCTAATATCCTTCTGTGCTTTTGTTCTTAACTTAAAAGTCCTACAGAACGCTAATTTAATTTATATTGATGTAATTTCATAACATCACTGTGTGAATACATACATACATACATTTGTGTGCACTAAATAAGAATAAAAAAAAGCAAATTTTTAATAGGACCAAATGTGTACCTCCAGATTCTTATGAGAGGAGTGGCGTCTGCACGCGCAGGCGCACTCAGCGAGCGGACAGTTGGCTGTCAGGTTACAACCACAAGTTGAGTTCAGCACAAACGAGTGGCCAAAAAAACAGTCGACTTCCACTGGAGATAGGTCGTGTGGTTTCTTTATATGTCGCCTTGTAAGTGTGTTTCTTTCGGTTCTTCGTGTATAGAATATAGGCTGTGTGCTCTTAAGTTCAGTCACTGCTGCTCACCACAGAGTCCCGTACACGGGCGCCGTTAACGTTACTCTCAGCTGCCGCGCCTGTCGGGACCAAACGCTCGGAAGAACTCATTTCAGGTAATTAAACTGCCTGTGATTTACAAACGTTACTGGTTAGTATGTTCTTTACGTATACTTTGTAAAGAAAAATAAAAAAAAACGTTGTATTTTTAAGGTACGCAATATTATTTTAGTGGTGCATTAAATTTTTTTTATTAAAATAGTATGTCTGTGGGGGTGGGGGGACTTTATTATTTGAAGTTGGCATGTCTCTCTCAATTTTAATATATTTTTTTAATATAGCGAAGGAGAATTGTCCGCTGAGCCCGGCGGCTCGCGCGCCGCATCCTCGCGGCTCCGTAACCATGGGCAACCGGGGGATGGAGGAGCTCATTTCGCTGGTGAACCGCCTGCAGGACGCCTTCAGTGCCATCGGGCAGACCTGCGACCTGGACCTGCCGCAGATCGCGGTGGTCGGGGGTCAGAGCGCAGGCAAAAGCTCTGTCCTGGAAAATTTCGTGGGCAGGTATGGCACCATCATAACTGCGCGCTACAGTTGTTCATTATAATTAATAGTTCAGTTCAACATACCAGAGATTTGCGAAGATGTTATTAATGTCATGAGTATTGGTCAAACCATGTGTTTTTAATAACAGGACAATATCAGTAGCCTAGCTGATTGGTAGATATCAGTGACTGAAGGCTAATGTCAAAATTCTATCAAAAGAGGAGGGGAAAAAACCATGTGGACATAGTTATTGGCTGATAGCAAAAATGGACTGATTAATCAGCTAGTGATGTTCAGTTGAGTCACTTTTCTGCAGAGGCACTGAACTGTATCGCTGAAGCAGGTGCAGATGGTCTCATCTGTAGTCAGGAGCAGTCACTACCCCTTCCTCCATCTGTCTAATGGCCTGCCAAGCCAATGTCCGTCACCCATGCAGAATCTAAAGATTGTCTTCATTTTCTCTGGACTATACGGATCATTAAAACAAGCTGGCAACTAATTTTTTTTAAGAATTCATTTTTTTTCTTTATCTGATCGGTCCCTTAATAGATGTGACCGATTTTCCCATGATTTATATTTGTTAAGGGAAGCCATTTCAAATGTCACTGTCAAAAGGCCATTTCAAAATAGCCTCATGTACCATGGAAGCGTCTGCAACTTTCTGAACTCAAAACATGTGGTCATAAAATCATTAAAAAATGGACTGTTTTTGGCAAATACACTTTATACTAACAGTAAACTTTATACTAACTGTATACTAACAGTATAAGTTCTCAAAGTAAGTGTTAAATTAAAATACATACACACACACACACACATATATATATATATATATATATATATATATATATATATATATATATATATACTCACTTTATATTAGTGGTCTTTATACTATGTACTTATGTTAAAAATAATAATAAAAAATAAATAATTGATAGGTATTTGTTTGGTAGTATGGTTAGGTTTAAAGTGCCCCTATTATGCCATTTTTAAGGTTCCTAATATAGTTTTGGGAGTCTCCTACAACAGGTTTACATGCAATGCAAGATCAAAAAGCACTTTCGTTTTCTCATAATATACATTTAATTTCACCTATTGGTCAGATGGCCTAGTCCTTTGTGATTGGTCTACCACATACAGCGCATGCTATAGTGTTTGAGGGCGGGTCAAGTTGTTTGCGGGCGGACAAAGTAGAACATAGGCGGGCATTATGCAAATGTGTTACCCCGTGACGTATATCCGTCATGCAATTGAGACTTGAATTACTGACGAGTCGTTTAGGCTGTTCAGAGTCATATAAATAAATGTATTTATTGTGTACTGTCAGCTTCACAACTTTGCAGATCGTTTACATTCACAGACAGCTACATTACACACTGCATGAAAGGTCATATTTGAAAATGCATAATATATGGGTACTTTAAGAGTGGGTTAAGGTGTAGGGGTATGGTCAACAGTGTAATTATAGGCAAATACAGAGATTAATTAGATGTAATTACATAAAGGTGTTTTTGAATATACAACATGTTTTGAAACATGTACACTATAAGTGCATTGTATCATTTGATCAATTTTAATGTAAGTACATAGTAGTTAAAGTACATAGTAGTTTATACTGTTAAACAACACAGTATAAATATATATATATATATATATATATATTCCCCAAAAACACAATAAAGGATCATGTGACTGCTGAAATACTGCTTTGCCATCACAGGAATAAATTATATTTTAAAATATATTAAAATAGAAAACAATTTAAATTGTAATAATATTTCACAGTGTTACTATTTTGCTGTATTTTTGATAACATAAATTTAGCTTTAGTAATCATAAGAGACTTACTTCAAAAACATAAAACAAAATCTTGCTGATGCCAAACTTTTAAAGTTTTACATTGTATGTCCCCTTTAGGAGTCCCTGTTAAGGCACAGTAAGTCTTTAATAATCCTTTTTTTTTTTTTGCGCAAGAGGAGCCCACAGGATCTTCTCTTTGAAGGCTGATTTCCGTATGGAAAGACTGGGCCTGTCCAACAGGAAGCATTGATTGTTACTGAAAGCTATTGTTTGCTCAGTGTATATCAGTTTGGTGAGCTGAAGTGAAGTGGATATCGCCTGCTTAACATAAGTGTGTCTGACTGAGAACAAGCTGCTTGTGTATCTGAGAGGGAGGCATTCAAGCGCTCTGACTATCTTCATAAAATCTCGGTCAGTGTGCTGAGGCAATATGCTCTCAGGCAGTTATTGGAGACTCAGTTTACTTTTTTTGATAGACAGATTGTGATTTTTTTATATTCTTTCATTATAATATTCTTTATAGCTTATTGTATAGAATATTTTGTGTTGACCAAAGAATTTGAAGTTCTCTTGGAGCAGTCACATATACTGTTTGTAAAAATTCTGTCATCCCTTGAACAAACTAAGTAGTCTTGCACATGCAGTACTATTTATCTCTGAAGCTATACTAAATTATGATGATGATGATGGCTACACACTTGATGACACATAATGACAACTATAACCCGTGTGTCATTTGCATTATGCTACAGTTGGTAATGTAAACAGCCACAAATATGTGGAATTATACAAATGTCAAAACATTTTGAACCTAGAGCACTTTGTGAGGAAAAGCAAGGTGTCACCACAGATTTAGAGTGTGTTCACACTTTGATTCTTTTTTTTTTTTTGGTTTGGACCAAAAAAGGATCTACCAAACATCCAAAACTGGGCTAAATGTGCTCATTGTATGTTGTGTGTAAATATGGTGGCATTTTTTATCAGTTGAGAACTCACAAGAGCTTATAAAATGCATAAAGGAGCCAAAACAGCACCAGGAACACCTCAGTTGCACACACAAGCAAAGCTCTCCTGCAAGGAGATGGGGTTTTGATCCCTAGTGCTGAACTGTAATGGGCAACATAGCTCCTATGAGGAGAAGAGAATGATTTTGGTTCATTTAGATGTCTTTGGTCTGTTGCGTTCATATTTTAGTTTAACTGCACCAGAGTTTGTAATGGTGGGTCTCAGTGTGCTTGTTTGGTGCTCCCCAGGTTTAAATGGCAGCGTTCACACATGTTCAGATGGACCACACTAACAGAATAATCAAAACAGAGTCTGCTTTAATCAAGCCAAACCTGCCAAGTGTGAACACACCCTTAAAGTGCAGTGTGTTTATCACGCTATCAGGCATAAACTTGAGCTTCCGGTCAAAATGACAGACTTTAGTGACGTATGCCAGATCTCTCTAATCATTTAGTTTGTTTGAATCCCGCCCCTCTGCAATCAACAGCAAGTTCATTTTCATTTTTGAGTGCAATGCCCACATCTCAAAATTCAATCAAAATCTTATGGATAGAACCAAGTCCCTGTCCTACTTTTTTTTTCTTTTCTTTTTCAAAAATCAGTTGCACTCGGATATACGTCACAATAACGAAGAAAATACCTGTTGCTGCAATAGATCTCCTATGGCTAGATTTTCTAGATATGGCTTACAGGCAAACATTCTCAGCTTAAATTGATTATGAGTCCGGCATCTGACTCTGAAAGAGAAGTAAGTGTAGTGCTGGACTCATATAACTCAGGACGAGGAATTCCTAAATTTCCTAAATTAAGTGATATCTGGAGAATGAAAATTCTCAACTTATCCTAATTTTACTCAATATGTACGTTTCCTGCATAGAACACAAAAGGAGTTAGCTAGCAGAATGTTATGGTTGCTCTTTCCTGTCCATATACATTTATATATACAAGAATAAAGTGACTTAAATTGCATTGAAGGTATACATTTTTTCAGGTTACACATTGTCCCATGACCTTGGCATTTCTAGTGTTTGAGCTACCGAAATGCAATAAAAGCACAATTTACATTTATGAATTTGGCAGATATTTTAAAAATATATTTCAATCAGTTCTTGGATTCCCTGGGAATCAAACCCATGACCTTTGCTAGTGTCATGCTGTACAATTTGAGCAATGCTTGAGCAGTGCTATATTCTGTCAAATTAAGCCATACGATAGGAGGACCAATCCAAAATGTAAGTTGCTATTGATTGGAGTGCCATCGCTCACTTGTCACACTTCAGAACACCTTACCAAATAATATAATTTTTACAGTCTGCTTCTATATTTTTTATTATCAGTTGCTCAACTGAAAAACTCTTCTGACTGAAAGTGGTACAGTCTAGCAGGTGGTTTTGTTTCCTTCGGATGAAATAATGGTGGAATGAAGTGGAATCATTTATGCAACAGAATGAACTTCCGTTGTGCAGTCATATGATGGCCTACTTAGAGTTCATGCACAGGAAATAATGAGTACACGTATCCATAGCAATGAGTTATATATGAATGGAGGAGAGCAGTGCACCCTCAGCCATCTGTTATCTCAGTATCACTACCAGTCAGTGGAACACCAGAGATGCCTGGAGAAATGGGTTAGTGAAATGAAAGAGGGAGTATAGTGCTTGGGTTTAGAAGAATAAGTAGTTGATTTTTACATGACCACACTCTTAAAAATAAAGGTGCTTCACGATGCCATAGAAGAACCTTTTTGTCTAAATGGTTCCATAAAGAACCTTTAACATCTGAAGAACCTTTCTGTTTCACAAATGGTTCTTTGTGGCTTATAAAAAGGTAAGAAATAGATGGTTCTTTATAGAACCTTTGACTGAATGGTTCTTTGTGGAACCAAAAATGGTTCTTCTATGGCATCGCTTGAAGAACCTTTTGAAGCACCTTTATTTTTAAGAGTGCAGTAGAAGACATCTCAAAATGAAGACATCAAATTTAGCTGATGGGTTTGGAATCTTTCTTTTGAGGAACTTCCCAGCTTCTCACTCTGGTTTACATTACATTTTCATTTATAAATTTAGAAGACATTTTATTCAAAGTGACTTACAAATGAGGAACGCTACAACACAAGCAATTCTTCCAAAGGAGAACATAAGAGTAATGTAAGAAGTGGAGCAATATGAAGTTTAGAATAGCTGAAGAGAATACCAAAATTATTGAAGGGATATATCACTCTTAAAATGAATATTCTGTCATCACTTACTCACCCTCGTGTCTTCCATTCCACCAAAATGTTTGACACAAATAAAAAAGTTCATCAAGAAATCGTAAAAGTAATCCATATGAATTAAGTGGTTTAATCCAAGTCTCCTGATGAGACACGATCACTTTATATGATACACAGATTTAATTGAGGCTTTTAGTCACATATAAACAGTGACCAATGCACATACATCAAACAAGATCAACGGCAGCTCAACCGTATTTGCATGAGGTGCAAGAACAAAGCTCACTGGTTCTTGCAAAAGCTTCAAGTGCTTGTGTGACACGTGAGAATAAACAATACTGGTTCTCAAGCCATCAAGAAAGCACATTTCATCTTATGTTTTGAGTGTCAAGGTTTTGGTGGAATGGACTGTCAATGGTGGCATAGAAATCTCTCAATGCAATTAAAAAATATCATTATTTGTGTTTAAATCAAAGATGATTTAAAGTATTTTGGTTTGGAGTGACACGAGTATGCGTAAATGATGACATAATTTTCATTTTGGGGTAAACTAAACCTTTAATTAAAAATAATTCAACTGAAAATGAAATTCTGCAGTTATTTACTGACCTTCATCTCAGTGGCCAGGGGCTGTCAAGCTTAAACAACAACAAAAAACACCAGAAAAGTGAAAGCATGAAAACCAATGGCATTTGGTTCTGTAGACTAATTTTATGGTGATTTGTTTTTGCCTTTTTTTTGGAGCTTAAAGGGTTAGTTCACCCAAAAATGAAGATTAGCCCATAAATTACTCACCCTCAATGCATCCTAGGTGTATATGACTTTCTTCTTTCAGATGAATCCAGTCGAAGTTATATAAAAAATTGTCTTTGATCTTTCAAGCTGTTTCATGGCACTCTTCGGGGCATTGCTTCAGTCCAAAAGAAGTGAAATAAAAAGCGCCCATCCATAAAAAAATGTCTCACACGGCTCTGGGGGGTGAACAAAGGCCTCCTGTAGCGAATCGATGCGTTTTTTGTAAGAAAAATATCCATATTCAAAACGTAATAATCACTTTTTTTAATCATCACACGGAAGCAGCTCCAGGCGGATGACGTATGAGTTCAGCGTTGCGAATGCACCGGTGAGTCTAGTGAAAACCAACGTTTGTTAACAGGAGCAAAGGAAGCCAAGTTTCCTTACTTCAGCAAAGGAAAACCAGTCTCCTCTTGTCTTATATTGAAATCCTCCAACATTCTTCTTTACAAATCCTCGTTTTGTACTTCTAATTCATGATCGTTGTTTTGGTTTGATCTCTCCGCTGCATTTCCGCGTTCGTCACTTCTGAGTGGCGCATGCGCAAAGCCAAACTTATACATCATCCGCCCAGAACTGTTTCCGTTTACAACAGTGAGCGCAAACTAGATTAAATTGATTTATTACGTTTTAAATTTGGTTATTTTTTCTTACAAAAACGCATCGATTCGCTACAGGAGGACTTTGTTCACCCCCCAGAGCCGTGTGAGACACTTTTTTTATGGATGGGTGCTTTTTATTTCACTTCTTTTGGACTAATGCATGCAACACCCACTGAGTGCCATGAAACAGCTTGAAAGATCAAAGACAATTTTTTATATAACTCCGACTGGATTCGTCTGAAAGAAGAAAGTCATACACACCTAGGACGCATTGAGGGTGAGTAATTTATGGGCTAATTTTCATTTTTGGGTGAACTAACCCTTTAACCGCCACAGGTCACTGTATGCTTTTATATTATGGAAAAGAGCTGGGTGAGCATTCTTCTAAAGATCAACAAAATGATTCATGAGGGCAAGTAAATGATGACTGAATGTTACTTTTTGCTTGAACTACTTGATTATTTCTTAAACTGTTTATTTTAATCTTGAAATTCTCAGTTAAACACCCGCTGAAATGTGTAAACATTCATACTATGTTACACACAGGCAGTGCTCAATTCTGCATTACATGTCTGTTTACTACAGTAATGCATGCTGGGTACTGGGGGAGGGACAGGATGAAATAAGCGGATAGTGAAGAAGAAAGGAAAGAGAAGGGGGAGAATATGAGGTTGGAGCATCTGAGTCAAGAGGGGCTTTGTTGAGGGGGTTAGAAAGTGGAGGTCAAGGGAAAGTATTGGAAATGACTGCAGATGTAAAGGACATTGTTGAAGAAGAGTGAGCCACACAGATGACTCACTGCCTGGGTTCAAGCTAAATACCACAGGCTGGTTTGCTAGTTCATATATAGTAGTTTCTTGGCTAATATACAGATGACTTACCCACTCTACAAGCTTAAGATATTTTCACATTTATTCTACAACATAAAATACATCAGTAATACCCCCTTGTGATTTTTAAAAAAAGCTTTTACTAGTTTTGAAAAAAGGCAGTTGCTAACAAGTGGCCAAATGGAGCTACAGAGGTTATCATCACACCGAACAGGTAAACTACTCACTAGTCCGCTTTTATAGCCTCATTATTTTTATAATATGCTCTTGCAAACTATTCTAAAATGTTTTTAAAGAGTTTTTAAGAGTTGTTGGAAGTTTTAGTGACACTGAAGTCATTCAACTATGGTGTCGTTCATTTATAGCCTATGTTTATATTTTTACTTTTACTAATTGTATTTAGACTTCAAAATTCGTAAAAGTTGTTTAAACGTAACGATTATCATGATGAACAAAACTTGTAAGAATCATAAACGTTTGTTGGTCTCGGAGCTTATTTTCTGCAATCATCGAAAAGCCAGAGGAAAAATTGTATTGGATTTTTGTTGAGTGAAACAGGGTGATGCAACTTCCGGGTTGACCTACAAAATACATCATCACTGCAGCACTTTATTACCATGGATGGTTTTACCTGCATCCTGCCCCTCTCCCTGAATGCCTTTAACTAGGTCTAATCCAGTGGGACTTCCCCTCTATTTTGGGCAGTAGTTCTGTTTTAGATCTGCGCACACCCAATTTCCACGATCATCTTTATCATCCATTGTGACTTCATCTCAAGCCTGGGATTTATCAGACCAAATGGAAAACACATTTGTCCATGGAAAAGTCTAACTTTTCCCATTATTGTATTTTTGCCTCTTTCAAAATATATTGGATAAAGAACAAAAATCTAAGACAAACAGGCACCATTGAATCAACCAGAAGCTAACAATTAGAGCTATGATTGTGTTTACACTTTGGTGTAATCAACCTAGAATTGGTTTATTTAGAGATATCTCTGCACTTCAAACAGGGGTAGGGAGTATTTTAACATCACCCGTAAAGAATATCAGTGATCTAGCTGCAGTTCCTCTACTGGACTGTTTTATTTATAAACTGTACTCATGTCCTCTGCACATACATGGTGAAAATGAACTGGTTCTGGATTATGAATTCACTACTTTATGATTATGTAAAGCTAGATTGTCTCACAACTCATTTGTAAATGTACAGGCCAGTACAAGTTGTGTGTAAACGTGCCATAAATATCAGAGTATGAGGGTCATGAAGGGTGGGACGAGGTTTATGGTTTCACTGTAAGACTGGACTCGTCCAAGTATGCAGTGACAGTCTCTGGCACTGTGCCTCAGACAGGGATAGTGTCAGTGTATCATGTGAGGCAAGTTTTATGTGTAGGTTTTTATTTATTTATTTTTTATATATTTGTTTATTTTGCTAGAAGAAGAGTTTTACTTTGGCATGCATAAGGATTCGTCTGCCTATTGTATGTTTTTTTCTTATGTGTAATTTCTTCGACATGATGGTCATGCTGTCCTTTCAGAGATTTCCTACCAAGAGGCTCAGGAATTGTTACAAGGAGACCGCTTGTCCTTCAACTCATCAGTTCAACTTCAGGTGATACACACAAACACATATATTTTAGTTGTAGTACTCAATTAGAGATCAGGTAACAAATCACTGACTATGTGTTCGGAATAGCTTGATATAATTGGATATATGTATAAAAAAAATTATTTTCACCATTTTTGAAACACAAAATTGGATTAAAAATATTTTAAAAAAATGATTCCACTCTCTGAATTGAATATACCACTTAATGATTTCATGTGACAACAGTGCAGAATACTACTTTTTGGTTGGGCTTTTACTACAGACCTAGACAAAATATAACAACCAACAAACAATCCAAAATTGAAAACACAATAAAAACACACACATTCAACAAATAACCAATTAACCCTCTGGCCCTCTTCGGTCATTTTTGGCCAAAATCTTAGCTTCATCGGAATGAGATGACACTTGGTGACTTTTGTCACATTAGCAATATGAACACACAAAAAAATCATAGACATGATGTCAAAAAAAAACAAAACATGCTTGACTTCTTCGCGGTCAAAAATGACCGACATAGGAAATTAATGGGAAATACGAAAACATTTTCATTTCTGTTCTGAAGTTTTATTAACATTTATTGAATTACATTGAATAAAATATAAATTAATTGCAAAATGTTTGTATAAAGTGTTTTTAATTATCACTATCCATTCCTTATTTTGTTCGATTTTTTAATTATCAAATACCGAGTAACAAAAATGCTTTCTATGTGTTCCCTTTCTAACAAGATTTTAATGTTTGACTGTAATCATAATGTAAAACCTGATACTTATCTAACCAAAAATATCTAAACCTTGACAAAAAGTAGTCTTTTAGAATGTCTAGATATATATCTAAATGCAAAACCTAAAAAAATGAAGAAATTATGTCTAAAAAACAACGGGAATCCAAAAGCCTCTGTATATATCTATATAGGGTGCTAATACAAGAGGTTACGCAACATTACACAAGTTTTTATTTTTTAATGCCTCCAGATGGCTCAAAACAATGGATTTTAAATGCCTTCACTCTATTTTAATGTGAAATATTGCATTTATTAAAAAATAGTAAAGAAATTTAAAATATATATTAATTCTAATGGAGAAAGTAACTCATTAAAATGGTATAAATATTGCATAGTATCATAAAATTCTCTCAAAATCATAAATAATAATCAAAAATATTATTGAACAAAAAATATATTACATTGATTTTCCTGGAAAAAAAATAGTTAAATTTCAAGGCTTCGGTCACTTTTGATCGCGAAGGAGGCAAGTGTGACTCCTAAACGAAGAGGGCCAGAGGGTTAACCAATTATGTAAACCCTAAATAAAATAATGATCACAAAGCCAGTTAAAAGCTACATTCATTTTATTCCATTTCAGGCTTTTAAATTATTTTGTTAAATCAGTCCATAACTCCTTTTACTGAAAATGATGACTGGCCAAAAGCTGGTCCACATCTTATTATGTTTTTACACTTCTCTTTTTACTATGATAATTAATACATAATTATTATTTAAAAAAAGACAAAAATATATATATATTTACAATAATGCCATGTCATTGACTTCTATCCATTATACTCAAAACCTGTTTATATAGAGACACTGTTGGTGTAGTAACAGATTGAGGAGTCTGTCTCCAAATAGTCACAAAATACGAAAAGAAAAAAAACACCTTGCATACCTAGACATCTTGTCTTCTTTAATGGATATATAAGGACTAATCATATAAAAAGTTGGTAATCCAATGTTACACATAAAACTTTAAAATCATTAACTTTTTCTATTTGATTTTAGTCAATCAAGTCCCTTTTGGTAATACTATTTAATAATATTGCACAGGTTAGTTTTATAAACCAACTAACTCATCCGATATCATGTGGCATATGGATTATGTACACTGAACACTAGAGGCCAGTGTCTCCTGTGTTAAGATTAGAATCAGTCAGTGTATGGAGAGTGGAGAATTGTCAGATCTTTGAAATTCATGAATTACAAACTGTTGAGCTGTCAGTTCCCCTAAGGCGCTATCATCTTCTGCTCTCTCTAATTCATACTTTCCATTCTCCATCGCAGAGCATGCCGAGTTTCTGCACTGTAAAGGAAAGAAGTTTACAGACTTTGATGATGTCCGACGGGAGATCGAAGCAGAGACAGACAGAGTCACGGGAACAAATAAGGGCATATCCTCCATTCCCATCAACCTTCGTATCTGCTCTCCAAATGGTACTGCATCCTAGTTAAATGTCATGGTACTTGTAAATTGGCTGGTAATGCCAAAGAAATATTTAAAAATATTAAAGCAACTATGTAAGATTGTACACCCTACTTCTAATAAGGCTTCATTATAAAACAAAGAATATATCTGAATAAAGATAAATTTTCCCCTCTACTCTATTTATTTCTGTCTCCCTGTTGTGACTACAGGTTATGTTGGTGTGGTAAACCGTAGTCAGAAGGACATTGAGGGAAAAAAGGACATCAGTGCAGCTCTGGCTGCAGAAAAACGGTTCTTCAAGTCACATCCTGCATATAGACATATGGCAGACTGCATGGGCACGCTGTACTTACAGAGGCTCCTAAACCAGGTGACAAGAGAATGATACTACACAGAATATGTCTGAAATACATAGTAGTGCAAAGATTAACAATGGAAAATTGTACTTTGAATCGTATTTCTTCCCTTTTTTTTAAATTCCTAAACCCCTCTTCATCTCCCTAGCAACTTACCAACCACATTCGTGACACATTACCAGCACTACGCAGTAGACTACAGGGTCAGCTTCTGTCACTGGATAAAGAGGCAGAGGAGTACAAGTGTTTGAACCCAGATGACCCCTCGCGAAAGACCAAGGCCTTAATGCAGTGGGTTCACACACATATAAACTCATTCTAATTCAGAGAGTAAATAAACATGCAAAAAAACACAAACAAACATGGACACAAACACGCTAGTCTTTACCTTAGTGCAATAAACAAGACCTTTGTTTACAGCCTAAACAACAAACACATTGCAGATAAGATCAGAACTGAAGATGCCACACACACAAACACATAATGTTGCTTTGTTGTCCAGGCTGATACAGCACTTTGGGCTAGATTTTGAGAAGCGGATCGAGGGATCTGGGGATCAGGTGGACACAGTGGAGCTTTCAGGAGGAGCCAAAATCAACCGCATCTTTCATGAACGTTTTCCCTTTGAGCTGGTTAAGGTGATTTGTTAAAGATGAATTGATCATTGTTATTTACTTAAATGCCATTCAGAGCTTGGAAATCAGAGCTAATGCTGATTTCCTGTTCACATTCTGCTACATCAGATGGAGTTCGATGAGAAAGAATTACGAAGGGAGATCAGTTACGCCATTAAAAATATCCATGGCATCAGGTACATGTCACAAATATTTATCAGCTGATTTAAAATGGCACTCAGTCACTTTCTGTTTTCACTGTGTTGGCCGTTATGGCAGTCGTCTTAAAAAGAAGTTCACCCAAAAATGAAAATTCTACTCATCCTCAAGTTGTTCCAAACCTGTATGAATTTCTTTCACTGTTGAATACAAAAGAAGATATTTTGAAGAATATTGGTAAGCAAACAGTTGACGGTAGCCATTGAAATCCGAAGTATGGAAAAAAATACTATGGAAGTCAGTGGTTACCTTCAACTGTTTGGTTACCAACGTTCTTCAAAATATCTTCTTTTGAGTTCGGCGAAAGAAAGAAACACATACAGGTGGAAGAAGAGAGTAAATTATGATAGATTTATTAAATTTTTTGGGTGAACTATGCCTTTAAACTGTTTGCCAATCTTATAAGAAAATACCATTTATATTTTCATACAGAGAGCTTCTCTGTATGTCTTCCTCTACTTCGTCTTCTCTTTCTTTTTACTACAAAAAATATTCAGCTTACAGGTTAACTGCCTGTACTTCATTTTCTCTCTGCTCTTGCTGTCCAGGACAGGCCTGTTCACACCCGATATGGCCTTTGAAGCCATAGTGAAGAAGCAGATTGTGAAGCTTAAAGTGCCGTGTCTCAAGTGTGTAGACATGGTGATTCAGGAGCTCATCAACACAGTACAACAGTGTACCAACAAGGTACAACATCCTCTTAACCATCCTTTTATGAGTGAATGGACATACATAGACATACATCAAAGTCAAAGAGCATAATATAATGCTAAAAAAAAGTATATAATATGTTTTCTTTAAAGTCGATGTGATCTTATTTTACTTTAAAAGTTAGCTAAAACAATCTTTAAATAGCATTTTGGCTATTGGTTAACATTTTCCAATAGTTTGCACAACCCAAGTGATATCAGGGGGAAAGGAAAGTCATTAAAAGTTATTACATTTTGATAAAAGATCACCAAGACAAAATAGTTTAAATCTAGTGCTTTTTTGACCCATTTAAATTAGACTTAAATACATCTTATACGTAATTTCATAATTCCATTTTCTTTTAAATATAGTTAAACTATACTGCCAAATGCACTGAAGCATTTATGGTTAACTAAAATATACTTTACTGTTTTTGTTTATTGTAATTTCTGTTGTAATTATGCATTTATAATGATGAAGTTGCAATGTAGTACATTTAAAATATATTAACTTTAAATGTAATATTGAATAACACACTGCAGTTAAAACTATAATCAAGTACTTTACATGTGTTTAAGTATGTTAGTCAACACATCAAAATGAGTGTACCTTAAAGCACAACAAAAGATTATTAAAACATAGGCCTGGTTTCACAGACAGGGCTTAGATTAAGCCATAGTGCAATTAGAACATTTAAGTCGTTTTTTTTAAAATGTCCTTTAGAAAAAAAAAACATTACTGATGTGCATAAAACAATCGCACTGACATATTTTAAGATATGTTAAAACAGCTTAGACATTGCACTTTAGTCTGGGACTAGGTTTAAGCCTCATCTGTGAAACTGGGGGATAATGATTTAAAATGTACTTTAAAGTAAGTGTACTTAAATGTAAGAAACATAGTCATAAAAGTGTAATAACCTTTTATTTCATTAATATTACATTATCTTACATTATCAGTTTTTAAACAAACACTTTAAAAGGGACATTGGATGCCCATTTTCCACAAGTCAGTATATGATTCTTTAGGGTCTTCATGAAATGTCTGTAACATACTTTGGTTAAAATTCCTCAATGGTTGTGTAAAACAACACCCTTTTTACCTTGTCAAAAACAGCTCTGATCACAGCGACCCGTTTCCGTGCATGTCTCTTTAAACAATAATGAGCTCTGCTCACCCTGCCCCTCTCTTCCGTGGAAGAGGAAATAATCATAAGAAATATAAAGTGTGGGACTTACTTCTTCTGGAGGTGCAGCTGGATCATGGACAGTGGTTACTGATCCATCCTTGAGTGTTAACTTTTTAGCAAAACCTGCCTTGAATTGTCCCTCGTTCAGAAAGCAGTATGGAGTAAAATGATTTGCGCAAACATAGACGCATTTAGGTAGAATGGGAGGCGCATTCCCTTAAAAAACAAAAATAATCCACTGCGTCTTCAGTGCTCAGATGTCAGGAGTAAATGATGACTGCTATGTTCATTATTACATCCAGGGGTAGTCGTGGCCTAATGGTAAGAGAGTCGGACTCGTAACCCAAAGGTTGTGGGTTTGAGTCTCGTACCGGCAGGGATTGTAGGTGGGGGGAGTGAATGTACAGCGCTCTCTCCCACCTTCAATACCACGACTGAGGTGCCCTTGAGCAAGGCACCGAACCCCCAACTGCTCCCCGGGCGCCGCAGCATAAATGGCTGCCCACTGCTCCGGGTGTGTGTTCACTGCTGTGTGTGTGCACTTTGGATGGGTTAAATGCAGAGCACTAATTCACAGAGCCACATGTCACTTCACTTCAACAACAAAACACCTCAATCTCTTAGGAGCCATTCTTGTCAACACCTGCTCCGGTGTCGAAACAATGGCGGACCAAGTAAAAGTGAATTTTGCATCCGATGTCCCCTTTAAGTACTTTAGATACTACAAAATTTTAAGTACAATAATGCACATTCAAAACAATTAAGTGCACTTCTTTTTCAAGGCACAAAAGTAATTAAAAAGGGACAAAAAGACAAGGAACTTGAATTAAGAAAGTAATTTGGTAATGTTTTTATCACATTACTTATGTTATGTTTTTTTCTATTTGAACTTTTTTTTTTTTTGGTCCACAGTTAGAGTCCTTTCCAAAACTACGGGAGGAGACGGAGAGGATAGTGACCACACACATTCGGGAACGAGAGAGTCAAGCCAAAGACCAGGTCAGACCAACAGCTACACACAATCTTTCAAATGAATCGCTCTTTTTTTAGGGAGGGTTTAGTTATGGTTGAAAAGAACTTTATTAGCAGTTTGATTACAAATTATTGTTTTATGTTGTATCTTGTTGTGCATATTCATGTCTTTGTTCACTGAACAGGTTTTACTCTCACTAGAGATTCAGCTCTCTTACATCAACACAAACCATGAAGATTTTATTGGGTTTGCAAAGTAAGTTTTTAACAACAAATGAATGGCATAAATAAAACACGTTTAAGAAAATGAAATTTTTACACAATTTCCCCCCATTTACATATTTCCTTTCAGCGCTCAACAGAAAACAAATCAAACGAGTAAGAAGCCTTCAGCAGGGAACCAGGTGAGCCACAGTGTTTTATGAGCTGTTAATATGAACCTGGTATATATCAGAAAGCATCACCTAGCAAGTCTTTTCTGGAAAGAAGTCTCTTTTCTGCTCAAGCTCTCTTGCTCTTTTGGTCACCTGTCTCACATCAGATAATACATGGCTTATGTGTATCTCTAACATTTTTTCATATTAATCTTGCTCTTGATGACTTGCGTTTTCACTACAAGTGCTGTAAATTAATATTCATTATTTCTCTCTCTCTGATGGCTGTTTTTTGCCCCCATTCTATCGATTTTCAATGTTTAGCATTGGAGTTTGATCATTGTAACTGATGAAATGGGCTCTTAGCAATTATTAAAAGCCCTAAGCCTAGTAAGAGCTCAAAAATAGCTGCCCACTTTTATCTCCATTTGACTGTGCAGTTTTTGAGTGGCTTACAAATGTATTGCATTTCTTCTAATACATGACAAGCAAGAAAAGTTATTTTAAGGAGAATAATTTATTGAAGGTGGATGTGTAGCGCACACATGGCCGGCGCAAAGGGGGGGCATTCGCAGGCCTTGCTCCCCCTCAACCGAGTTTCTGTGCCCCCTTCCCCTCCTCTCTGCTGAATGTGATCGATTTCGATTCGATTTCGATTGCACGCGATTGCAGATTGCACGCTTCCCTCCAATGGAGGATCTGCATGGGGAAATCTTTGCCCTTACACAAAATTGCCAGTTGCATGGATTCCTTTCGAAATGACTGCTAAATAACGGTAAATGTTACCGCACCTTTAAAGCCCTAATTGTAGTGCTTCACAGGGTTTTGAAAGGTTTATATTAGGGGTGTCCATACCTTTTCCTGCAAGGCCACTATCCTGCAGAGTTTAGCTTCAACCCTGCTTAAACACAACTGATTCAGCTAATCAAGCTCTTCAGACTCACTAGAAATTTTCAGGCAAGTGTTTTGGAGCTGGTTGGAGCTAAATTCTGTAGGAGACTCTGAATGACATTTTATTTCCCTACTGCTGCATCGTTGAGGTGATCTTAATGGGTCTAAGGTCAAACATTTCAGTCTATTCTGTGTGAGTTGCTCTTTCCTAGCTTCAGTGTCCATTTTAAAGGAATTTTTCAGGTTCAGTCATTTAAACAATTCAAGCCTATTTGAATTAATCTCTAGGCACACTACCATTGAAATGTTTGGGGTGAGTAATTCTGAAAGAACTGTTAAATTGTAAGAATATTTCTTCTTCTTATTAGTAGTAGTAGTAGTAGTATTGTTTTTACCATATTTTAAAATCATTCTTACCAACCCACAACTTCTGAATGGTAGTGTATGTCAAAAAATGCATGTACTGTAATATACTGTACTATGCACTTATAATGGCAGTCTATAAAGCAACTGGAATGTTAAATGTTAAAATATACAGTTTCACAAACTCAATAAAAACCATTACTAAAATGAGGATTTAGATAGCCTTGCAACTCAGAAAAAAACATTTTTGCTTAATTTTAATTATACATGCATGACTGTAAACATGTTTTCTCTCTGTTTTTAAACATTGAGGGAGTGAAAATTATTTTTTAGTGGTAATAGAGCTGGACTAGTATTGAACCTGGAGCGCTCCTGAAATTGCTGATCTATGTTCATATCTCTTACACTGTGCACTGTGCTACATGTGTGCTGTTTGCTGTACATGTCTAATCTTTTCAATCTTCTATTGCTTAGAAAACGATTTAGTGTTTGTAGTGTTGGTGATATAGTAACATTTCACAAAGTTGAAGGAATAAATGTGGAGTGGCAGCGTGCCAGGAGAGATGCCCATGCTCACTCGTGCCTCCTTAATGGTTTTATTCTCTCCTCTCTGCTGATGTTTTAGGGTGCTGCCCCTCCTCCATCCAGTCAAATTGTACGAGTCCAGTGTCTGTAAGCCTTACCTACTGTCTACCAGCGTCACATAGTTTTTGTGCTTGTGTCTATGTATGTCAGAATGCCTTTATGCCTCTAAACACAGCGAAATCACATCTTCCTCTTTCCTGCTTTATTTTCCACCCTTTGTCTGGTGCTGCTGTCACATAAATCAAAGACATTCTGGGACTCAGAAATTCAGATTTTTATGACTCCTGCTAAAACTCTCCCTGAACGTTGTTGTACAGTGTTTTTCATGCACTACACTTCCCTAAAGACTACTCAAATCAGATGCACAACAGTCCAAAACATGACTCATTTGACCTTTGAACTCTTAGTCTGAATCCTGATTTGCCCAGCGGTGTTTTTTAAATAAAAAAAACTTAAAGAAAACCTAAACCATATCCTAAAACTTTACTCTGTTAATTACCTGCTTCATTTATCCTCCTGTTCATAAATTTGAATCACTGTACTTTAATTCTGTTCTTGAACCTCCTTATAGTTTGCAGCCATGTAAGTACATGAGTAAACAGAGTCGTGTGTATGTGGGCTCTAATGTTAAAGGGGTCATGAACTGCCCTTTTTTTATTATTTTGTACTTTTCTCTGAGGTCCACTTATAATGTTATAAGGATTTTTACATAAAAAACATCATAATTTAGAAGTAATAGGCTATTTACTGCCCTTTTTTCTCCTCATCAGAACGCTCTGTTTGAATTGGCGTGGTGGATTGTAGACTCGGAAGTAAACGCCCACTGCTATGAAGCTATGGCTAACAGTTGTATATGTTTGACAGCCTACATCCTTCACAGATGGACGCTGCTGTGATTTAGGTCAAAAACTCGGAAATACTCAGTACATATCAAACTGTCTGTAATAACAGACAAAGCAATAGTCACCACGTAATAAAAACAGTTACACACACTTGTGTGGTGCGACGTTACTGTCGGATCCAATATAGTCGGCACAGCATCGTCTTTTAGATTCAATCTCTCTGAAAATCCTGCATCGAATTGTGCTTTGTTTGTAACTGAATCCACGGTAAAATGAAGTAAACAAAGGACCAAGTTCTTACTGACGTGGTCTGGATCTTCATTAAAAATCTCTTCATTAAAAAGTTAATCCACTCTTTCCTAATGTTGGGATCAGAAGGAAGGCAATGCAAAGACTCTGTTTTTCCACAACTTGGAACTGCACGGCCTCTTGTTGTCTTTGGAGCCATCTTTATCGTTTGATTTCTGCATAGACATGCGTTTGTTGGCAGGGCTAAACAGGCAGTGATGTAGAAGCAGGTGTTGATCATCTTCTGCGGAGGCGGGGTTTAGCCACACTATTATGTCATAAAGTGGCACATTCCACAACCTGTCGTTTTGGCAGATTGGCTTCAATATAAGCTGTGTTTAGACTAACGAGAAAGTTTTGAGTTCTGAAACTCACAGGATGTTTTTAAAGTACAATGACCTCATATCTGTCAAAAGATCAAGGGAATTTTGATTTCTCAGTTCATGACCACTTTAAAAACAAGTTGGAATCTCAAACTTCTCTTTGATCATAGTCCATTTGGCCTGTGTGTGTTTGTGTATGCGTGAGTGTGTGTTCACAATTTCTGATTTTGAACAAAATGGTGCAAGGTGCAAACTTGAGGTTGGTACAGTCACAAAATAAAGCAAATGTTTTTGTGTTTATTGTTTTTTTGGCAGTTCGATTGGAACAGTAGGTGAATAAAAATGCATTGAAGAAGTTTTATTGTATATTATCAGAATATTGTATCCACTGACAATATGTATAATGGAGAAATTCATTATGGTTGTTTTCAGTTTCTGTTTCTTTTCTTCTTCTTTTTTTTTTACTTTTTAAGGTGAATGAATCCACGGTAAAATGAAGTAAACAAAGGACCAAGTTCTTACTGACGTGGTCTGGATCTTCATTAAAAATCTCTTCATTAAAAAGTTAATCCACTCTTTCCTAATGTTGGGATCAGAAGGAAGGCAATGCAAAGACTGTGTTTTTCCACAACTTGGAACTGCACGGCCTCTTGTTGTCTTTGGAGCCATCTTTATCGTTTGATTTCTGCATAGACATGCGTTTGTTGGCAGGGCTAAACAGGCAGTGATGTAGAAGCAGGTGTTGATCATCTTCTGCGGAGGCGGGGTTTAGCCACACTATTATGTCATAAAGTGGCACATTCCACAACCTGTCGTTTTGGCAGATTGGCTTCAATATAAGCTGTGTTTAGACTAACGAGAAAGTTTTGAGTTCTGAAACTCACAGGATGTTTTTAAAGTACAATGACCTCATATCTGTCAAAAGATCAAGGGAATTTTGATTTCTCAGTTCATGACCACTTTAAAAACAAGTTGGAATCTCAAACTTCTCTTTGATCATAGTCCATTTGGCCTGTGTGTGTTTGTGTATGCGTGAGTGTGTGTTCACAATTTCTGATTTTGAACAAAATGGTGCAAGGTGCAAACTTGAGGTTGGTACAGTCACAAAATAAAGCAAATGTTTTTGTGTTTATTGTTTTTTTGGCGGTTCGATTGGAACAGTAGGTGAATAAAAATGCATTGAAGAAGTTTTATTGTATATTATCAGAATATTGTATCCACTGACAATATGTATAATGGAGAAATTCATTATAGTTGTTTTCAGTTTCTGTTTCTTTTCTTCTTCTTTTTTTTTTACTTTTTAAGGTGAAATTAATCTGCAATTTTGAGAAGAAAAGTTCATTCTAATTGCTAAACAACAACTGTTTATAAAGTTGTTAAACTGAATGAATGACACAGAGGATAAAACTCTGTTTTGACAGTCATAATCAGCTTAAATCAGCCAGAAAATGACTCATGTTTCCTATGGGATGTTTTGGACCTTTCTCCCTCCTCTCTTTGCCATCGCGGCCTTCTGTTTCCTTGTCTTTCTTCACCCCCACCCTCTCATCCCTCCATTTATCCAAAGTCTACTAGCTTTTATTATTGCTTTAGTTCTATCTATACACACACACACACACACACACACACACTCACAGACACACACAGATATGGATATACACAGAATCTTAAACACACACAGACGCAGACACACTTACGCTTACCAGTCATCCTGACTGCCAAATGTATGTGACTATATAAGCAAACACTAATTTGAATGAATTCTGAAACTCGAAACCCCCTCAACACTTCAAATGGAGGAATTCGTATAAACACGAGTATATTTTTTTAAATGTCACACACCTTCAGGCTCAAAATATTCAGATGCAAAAGCATTTTAACTCTGAATTATAAACTCTATTGGTATTAAGATTAATATGTGTTTAAATGATTGGCTTCCTTTAAAATTAGCATTTAAATATTACTGGATTTAAGAGGTTGGCTAGCTTTAAAGTTCCTCATGTTCTGCAGAATCCATCATTGCAATCATTTCTTTTGAATATGAGCGTGTGCATGATCCCTCTGATTTTGCCTGGACTTTTCAATTCAAGAATTACATTTAAATTTGAAATTCAATTAAAAATATGAAAATTTGACTTCATATCACACTCTTTCCAATATGTCCATCTCTTTCCCTCTCTATCTTCTTTACTTTCTCTTCATTTCATTCTGTCTCTGTGGTTGGCAGTCTCACTGGGGCCATTCACATTCCTGGGTGGAAAATTGTAAGACTTTGTCCAAACACCATCCAGCCTCCTAGAGCCTGCCGAAAGAGAGACAGAAGAGAGGAGAGAGGAAGAGATACAGCCCCTCACTCCTTGCAGCAGATCACATTGCAATTCTCACACACTCTATATGAGCATACACACATTCTTGCATTAAGCGGATCACTTCTTTACCCTTAAAGATGTTCAGATGTTCCCTTGCTTACTCTAAATCTGTCCCAGTTCTGATGGCATTCATAGGCCGAGACTGCTGGTTTGGGTTAATCAAGCACCCAACACTAAACAGATACACATTCCTGCAGTCTTCCCTCTCTTTCTTTCTGAGCCGAGCTGCATGAGGGAAAACAGATGACTTGTGCACCACTTCTGTTAGCATTCGGCATAATCACGTCTTTTCACCTCTCGTCTGTGTCGTGCAAGTTAGCATGCATACATATGTCAATTATGCTGAGATCTGGAAAATCACTTATCAAAACCTACGAAGGGCTTTCTGCACATCTCAAGACAGTTCAATGGAGAACTAGTCAGACACTTGGAGCATTGAAATAAACCATATGCGTGCACAGCTAAGCCTAAGTACATACGTGTTTACAATGACGACTAGAACAGTTTTAGCTAGGTTTAGCCAGGACACACACACACACACACACACACACTCACAGACACACACAGATATGGATATACACAGAATCTTAAACACACACAGACGCAGACACACTTACGCTTACCAGTCATCCTGACTGCCAAATGTATGTGACTATATAAGCAAACACTAATTTGAATGAATTCTGAAACTCGAAACCCCCTCAACACTTCAAATGGAGGAATTTGTATAAACACGAGTATATTTTTTTAAATGTCACACACCTTCAGGCTCAAAATATTCAGATGCAAAAGCATTTTAACTCTGAATTATAAACTCTATTGGTATTAAGATTAATATGTGTTTAAATGATTGGCTTCCTTTAAAATTAGCATTTAAATATTACTGGATTTAAGAGGTTGGCTAGCTTTAAAGTTCCTCATGTTCTGCAGAATCCATCATTGCAATCATTTCTTTTGAATATGAGCGTGTGCATGATCCCTCTGATTTTGCCTGGACTTTTCAATTCAAGAATTACATTTAAATTTGAAATTCAATTAAAAATATGAAAATTTGACTTCATATCACACTCTTTCCAATATGTCCATCTCTTTCCCTCTCTATCTTCTTTACTTTCTCTTCATTTCATTCTGTCTCTGTGGTTGGCAGTCTCACTGGGGCCATTCACATTCCTGGGTGGAAAATTGTAAGACTTTGTCCAAACACCATCCAGCCTCCTAGAGCCTGCCAAAACAGAGACAGAAGAGAGGAGAGAGGAAGAGATACAGCCCCTCACTCCTTGCAGCAGATCACATTGCAATTCTCACACATTCTATATGAGCATACACACATTCTTGCATTAAGCGGATCACTTCTTTACCCTTAAAGATGTTCAGATGTTCCCTTGCTTTCTCTAAATCTGTCCCAGTTCTGATGGCATTCATAGGCCGAGACTGCTGGTTTGGGTTAATCAAGCACCCAACACTAAACAGATACACATTCCTGCAGTCTTCCCTCTCTTTCTTTCTGAGCCGAGCTGCATGAGGGAAAACAGATGACTTGTGCACCCCTCTGCTTCTGTTAGCATTCAACATAATCACTTTCTTTTCACCTCTCGCCTGTTTCTTACGGCAAGTTAACATGCATGCATGGGACGATTATGCTGAGATCTGGACAAATCGCTACTCGAAACCTATGAAGGCCTTCTGCACATCTCAAGACAGTTCAACGGAAAACTAGCCAGACACCTGGAGCTTTTATATAAACCATATGCGTGCACAGCTCAGCCTGAGTACATACGTGTTTACACATACACAGCGTTAATGACTACTAGAACAGTTTTCTTGTAATATAGTTCAAATGCTAAGTTTAGCTACACATAATGCGGCTGATGTGACGTACATGTTTTGTGGATGATCATCTATTCAAAATTCAAGCTGTCAATCATCGCGGAACCTCTTCTGTGTCATTACCGCCAACTTTGAGTCCACAGAGACATGCAGTATCACCAACACTGGTGTAGATAAAAAACCAAACATAGCAGGGTCTGACATTTCACCTACAGTTGTTGAGTTTGTGTGCGTTTTTGCTCGAGTTTGAGAGTTTGCGTCGGTTTTCCAGTGATGTAAGTCCATGCACAGTCTAACCAATGTGCAGACTACTGTACACCAGTATGATCCTGAACAGGTAGTCTGAACACTGGGATGACGGAGCAGGAGATAGTTCCAGCTCTCTGTCTCACTCTCTTTATCTCTCTCTCTCTTTTCACCTCTTTTTCTTTATCTACTTCAATCACTCAGTCCAACCCTGCTGGCCTCGACCTTCACAGGAGGCGGTAGAAGATGCAAAATAAACAGGACAGAAATAGACTCCATTGCTTCTATCTCATTCTCAGTCGGGATAACGCCAATGTAGAGGACGTAGAGAGACGCTCCAGATGTCCGTTTACCCGTTCTCGACTTTCTCAGTTCCGTCTCATCACCGGCTGCTGTTTTTCCCCGCATCGGTTTGCAGTATCCAGCCTTGACGTGGCACATTCGCTCCCACAGCCGCCTATCTGGCAGGACATTCATGGAAGGCATAGCAAAAAAGAGGGAATGAGGAGTCAGAGAAGGACGGAGAAAGAGACAGAGAGAGAGAGAAGAGAGGGAGGGACCCCACTGGCCATATAAGGGTTGAATGGGACCCTTGGGGAATAAACTTTTAGAGTGGTCCGTTGTTTCTCAATTCCTCTCTTTCTTTCAATCTTTTGGTTCGACTCGCTCCTATCCACTCCTGTCTTTCTCCCTCCGTCCTCTCTCAGTACTCCCAGCCATTCTCTGGACTTCCCTGCCCAATCTCTCTCTCTTTCTCACTCGCTCTCTCACTAAAGCGGTACCAGATGTTGTATTCTTAACGCCAGCCTGTCATTTCTAACTTTTTTTTCAACCTCTAAAAAGTCAGGCAGGAAGTGGGCCCCTCTGCAATGAAAAAAGAGAGAAAGTTTTTGAGGGGAGCAAAAAAGGAGGGGTGCAAGGAGTCAAGGAGGACAAGGAGAGATAGTGTAGTAGAAGTTTAAAGGAGTAGTTTCCCGAAAAGTAAAAAATCTGTCATTGTTTGCTTACCCTCATTCTTACAAACCTGTATGCCGGGTTTTTTTTTGTTTTGACTAATTTGACGTCTTGACTAATTGCACAACTCTTGTCACACATTAATAGTTTAAAGTGATCAGGGTCTGTCAAGCGTCACAAAGGATTGTAAAAGTGCTCCATACAACTGTGCTCCATGAAAGTGTGCATTATTCCAAGTCTTCTAAAAACTTCTAAAGTTCTAAAACTCTAAATTTTTGTGAGGAAAAATCATATATAAATAATGTGAAATATTATTACAATTTAAAATAACAATTTTCTATTTTAATAGATTTTAAAAAGTAATTTATTCCTGTGATGCAAAGCTGAATTTTCAGCATCATTACTCCAATCTTCAGTGTCACAAGATCCTTCAGAAATCATTCTAATATGCTGATTTGCTGCTCAACTAACATTTCTTATTATCATACTTATATAGAAAACAGCATTTATTTGAAATAGAAATCTTTTGTTACATAATACATTTCTTTCACTTTTGATCAGTTATTGCTGAAGAAAAGTATACATTTCTTAAAATAAATGTCAATCTGACAACTGATAATGACTAGATAACTTAAATTTCAGTACTGTATTGCGTCAAAAATCATTCTGTATGGCTTCAGAAGACTTAAAACGTAGTGCACAAAATGCATGGACCACTTTTATGATATCTTTTTGTTCTTTTTGGTGCTTGTCAACTCTGGTCGTGAACTATTGCTGTATGGCAAGAATATGTAATGATTTTTCAAAAATGTCTACTTTGTGTTTGGAATGACATAAGGGTGTATATGATGATAAATTTTTTTTTGTACTGTTCCTTAAAGTCAGAAAACAATCAGGTTTTTGAACATTGTTAGATTGAATATTGCAGAAAATACTCCCTTCCGAGAAATTTCCTATGCAGTCACTCTGTCAGACTCAGTTACTGATAGTGGCATCATTCGGCTTTCTCTTCCCCTTCTGTTTTTCATTTTTACTCTTTTTAGAGTGTTTCCCCTCACACTTTCATCCCTTGTTCTTCTCTTTTTCTCCCACATCTCCCTTCCGTTATTTGCAATGTAATCCAAGCCGTTTCCTGAGACCCCAGCCCCTCCTGTACAGACAGAGGGTGGAGAGGGGGAGCTCTTTTTCTTTATTTTTTTTTTCCAGATGAAATGTTGTGTTTTAGAGCCTTGGTCCGAATAATGACTTCCACATGTGGGCCCTCACTCTATCTCTCAATTCCTCATTCTTTTTCCTTCTTTATTTCTCAATCCTTTACTCAAAGAGTGAAAACTTGTGGCATCTCTCATGCGCATGTTTTTTTGTTTTGTCCTGGGCCTGAAGCCATCCTGAGGATGATCAAATGGATCTACAGTGAATTATTTTTTTGTTGCTACGCTCTTGGCTTTCTTCCTCATAGTAATCTTCCCTAGTTCACACCATTTTAGAATCTGGTTAAAGAGATAGTTCAGCCAAAAATGAAAATGAATGTCATTATTTAGTCGCCATGATGTTGTTCCAAGTCTGTATAATTTTCTTTCTTCTGTGAAACACAAAGGAAGAATTTGCTGCCACTCTTTTCCAATCAATTGCAATGATCAGGGGCTGGAGCTTTCAAGCATCAAATGGATGCAAAACACATAAAAGTTTCATAATAGTGATCCATATAACTTGTGTGCTACTGTATGTTCCACTGTAGCCTTCTAGAGCCACAGTAAAAACTTAAACATCCAACCTTGTTCTCCTTTCCTCTTAAAATAAAGGTTCTAAAAGGAGTTTTTGCATTAATGCAACAGAAGAATCATTTTGTGCTATAAAAATGTTCCATGGCTGTTAAAGGTTCCTCATGGAACCATCAAAGCCATCAATGTAAAGATTATGTATTTTAAGACCATCTGCACGTTCATGAGTTTACAAGAGATGTCTGATTCCTGAACACATAGTTATTTTGAATCAGATCTTTCAATGAATTGGTTGATCTGGTTCACAAAAGTTATCTGAATGATTTGTTCATGAATTGGACTGATCCAGTTCTTAAGTTGAGTTCAACTGGTGACAGTTTTGAAGATGGAAATCTTCAGTCCCCATTCATTGTAATTGAATAAAGAAGAGCAACCAGTCTTAATAATTTCTTCTTTTGTGTTCCATGAAAGACAAACATCACAGGTTTAGGCCAACGAAAGGGTAAGTAAATGATGACAAAACTTTCCTTTTTGGGTAAACTATTCCTTTAACACTAATTTTGAGAAACTCCTAATACAGTTTGTTGACACTATACTAAATCTTATTACAATCTTTATTGGCTGTTTCTCAAAACTTTGCCATGTTTGAATGCTAGAAAAGGAACCCAGACATGCTGTCAAATTAGGTAGTTCACGAAGACTTAAGATATCCATTGTCTGTCTCATTTTCTAGGAAAAAGAGAAGAAATACATGCTTCCTCTGGACAACCTGAAGGTACGAGACATAGAAAAAGGCTTCATGTCCAGCAAACATGTGTTTGCCATCTTTAACACAGAGCAGAGGTCAGTTATACCACCTAAACACACTTCAAAAGAGAAAATGTTTTTTCAGAGAATGCTTTTTCAAATTTAAAATGATGTAAAGATCAAACACTCAGAGTACACACCATATGATGTAGATTTATATTGTAGATGCAGCTAAAGAATTCAACCCTCTGAATGACCTGTGTGTGTGTGTGTGTGTGTGTGTGTGTGTTTGTGTGTGTGTGTGTGCGTGTGTTTGTGTGTGTGTGTGTATGTGTGTGTTCTGAGGACTCAGCCATTAGCAAACATGCAAAAAAACAATCCAGTAAACAGTCTACACATATTACAACCAAATTTCATGGCTTTATTGTCCCATTGGTGTTAAAAGGTTGGACAAATTGTAAAGTCCCAAGCATCACTATTAATATTGTTCATAGGGTTAGTAATTTGGGGGAAAGAAAAGTCATTGTCTAGTGGATGATGGAATGAGTGAAAAATCCAATAGATTAGGAGAAACAACATCATAGCATGATGGAAATAGGCAAATGTAGAAAAGTTATAATTTTAGAGGTAATTGATATTCTCTTTCTCTGATATCTGATATTTCTCTGATATTCTCTCTCTCTCACTCACACACACACACACACACAAACAAACACACACACATTCCATTCTATGACATCTGGATTATTAATCAGTTAGATCTTTCTCCTCCTCTTTTAATATGTTTCTCTCTGCCACAACCAGGCTTTTTTCCTCTGTATGTTTTTATTCTCTGGTGCAATTTGTTTCCTGAGCTCCTGGCTACTTTCTAATATAGGGTTTTTCAGAGTTTCAAGTCTGTCACCCCGTGTCTTAGCCAGGCTTGATAAATGTAAGAAGAGATCACTTTTCACGAGCTGATGTTCTATTCAGCTGCGATTAGTGCATTTTGTCAGTCACTTGGATTCTATTTGTGGATAGCCCACTTGGTCCAAAATGTGTAATTTTTTTCTATGCTAAAATGCTTTTTCTTATCCCAACTTAATTTTGGAGTAGGCAAGAGATTTAAATGCTTTTTAAAGAAGTCTCTTATGCTCACCAATGCTGCAATTTTTCGATCAGAAATACAGTTTATAGAAAAACAGTAATTTGTGAAATATTATTACAATTTAGAGTAACTATATTCTATTTGAATATACTGTATTATAAGATGTAATTTATTCTTATGAAGGCAAAGCTGAATTTTCAGTTTTCAGTGTCACATAATCAGTGTTGGGTGTAATGCATTGCAGGTAACATGAGTTATGTAATCAGATTACCTTTTGTCAAGTAACTAGTAAAGTAACGCATTACTTTTAAATTTACAATGAAATATCTGAGTTACTTTGTCAAATAATTGGGAGTGAGGTGCAGAGGCACTTCCTTCAGTCTGAGGCTGATTAATTTCACTTTTGGTGTGAAAGGGCCTTTACAGTTGCCAAAAATAAACTTGTGGGGTTTTTTTATATTAAAAACAAATAAGCAAGTCCAGCCCTGGTGACAAAAAGTAATGCAAAAGGAAAATAATGCATTACTTTTCATAAAGAGTTACTATGTAATGCAGTTAGTTACATTCTTATGGAGTAACACAATATTGTAATGCATTACTTTTCATAAAGAGTTACTATGTAATGCAGTTAGTTACATTCTTATGGAGTAACACAATATTGTAATGCATTACTTTTCATAAAGAGTTACTATGTAATGCAGTTAGTTACATTCTTATGGAGTAACACAATATTGTAATGCATTACTTTTCATAAAGAGTTACTATGTAATGCAGTTAGTTACATTCTTATGGAGTAACACAATATTGTAATGCATTACTTTTAAAAGTAACTTTCCCCAACACTGTGCATGATCCTTCAGAATCAATCTAATATGCTGATTTGGTGCTCAAGAAACATTTCTTATTATTATCAATGTTTAAAACAGTTGTGCTTCTTTTTTTAGGATTCTTTGATTCTTTCAAAATAACAGCATTTATTTGAAATAGAATGTTTTGTATCATTATAAATGACTTTACTGTTATTTTAATGCATCCTCGCTGAATGAAGTATTAATTTATTTTCTACTGACTCCAAACTTTTGAACAGTAGTCAAAATAATTTTATTCTTTATGATAATTGTGTTTGACACTGTCAGAGGGCTCTGATTCACTGCAAAGGCAATTAATGGGCCATCAGTAAGCATGTCACACTAACTGATCCAAGACTGTCGATTTTGCCTTGCAATGAAAGAAATCTTGTCTCATAGGGCAAAATTGTAGGCAAAATTGTCTCAAGGAGAGTGCAGTGGAGTCACATCTGGTGGTCACAGCACACACACACTCTACCTTCACATTAATACTTCACAGAGAGCGCAACAGGAACAGGGGGCGCAGTAGGACACATCTGGCACATTCCTGGCCAGTCTCTACTTCAGTGTCCCTCCCTGCTCTCTTTTTCTCTCCGTCTCTGACATTCTGTCTCTAGAAGCACAGCCTCTTTCGATTTCAAGTGCGGGTGTGTCTGGGATTGATTAGCTGCTTAATTGGAGAGATGCTGGTATGCTGCGGTGAACACGCACACACACACACACACACACACAGCTTTGACAGTGAGAGAAGCATGGCAGACTATTGTAAACACACCCAAGGCTGCACCACAATCAATCAGATGCTCTCACACACTCCACACACACACACACTTACAAACACACACACACACATCCATCACTTCAAGCACTTTGTATAAAGATATTCAGGCTCTCATAAACTCCGCACTCATTCCCGCTCACCAGCAGAAACATACCACCCAGCACTCCGAAAAATCCCCTTTTTCTCTCTTGCTCTCTTACACACACACACACACACACACACACTTTAATGATCTAATGATTCATACTGTGCCCTACACACCCACCAACTCCCTAGTGTCAGAGCAACTGGTGATGTCAGGAGTTAGAAGTTGTTTTGTCACAGCGGTGACACTAGTCTGGCTTGGTATTGGAAAAGTACTTTTGAGAAATTCAGAGAGCTTTTTTGTTCACTTTCTTCCACTGTTTTGTCTCCGTTTGCATCAGTGTGCATTACATCCAGGTTCATATGTGATGGAGAGAGTAGTTATGTGCAGTTCTGGACTCACTCAGGACTGTGATTAAAGGAATATTTTGGATTTAACATAAGCTATGACATCTGAAATGTTGTAACAATTACCGCAGACAATAATTTCGACCCGCTCATCAGTTTGTAAAAACAAACAAAAGTTTTTACAGTGATGCATTTACAAAGGAAACCTCTCCTCATAGACACATCACAGTAAATGCAATTTTTGTTTTTGCAAACCCATAACAGTATTTAGCCCATAACATTCATTTGAAATTACGTTCAGTGTTATTATAGTTAACTAAAATGAAATTAAAAAAACAAACAAATCCAAAATAAAATATAATACTGGATAAAAAAAAGAAAAGGAAAACTTGCACTGAAAATAAATAAAAATTAATTTGCCTTGGCAACTGCTATATTTAGGTTTAGTTTTGTCATGTTTTCATTGCATTTTGGTTCTGTCTTCCTTGTTTTGCCTTTTGACCTAGATTCTCTGTCTGTTTAATTACTCATTTCGTTCACCTGTGGCCTGTATCACGAAGCCGGTTTCAGTTTAAGGCTACCCTGCTCCCAAGCAGGTTTTATTCTGAGTTAGAGATCGCAAACCAAAGCTGGACCAATCAGCTCTGATAAAGTATCATATGTCTGACGCAATAAAGCCAGCCCTCTTTATCTCTCACTACAAATTCAATTGTGTTTCAATTCATGGTATTTTTTCATAAAAATCTCTTCAACCGAGAAGTGAATTGCGCTGACTCTCGCGAGAAGTCAATCAAACCGATGCTTTCCATGTTCCGTGTGACTGGCTGTTTGCAGCACGTGTCACACTTTCAGGTGCCTCACAAACTCCAGATCAAACCTGAGTTGACAGAGAACATTTATAGCGAGCGTTGTGCAACAGCTGATCCTGATCTAAACCGGGTTGGATTTGTCAGGTTTTGTCAACTCAAAACTTACTCTGCAACTCTGAGTTTGTTCATCTCGCTTCATGCTACAGGCCACTGATGTAGAGTTAATTATCTTATTAGTTCATCTGTGCATTTAAGTCCCTCTGTTGAGTTTGCTCATTGCCTGGTATTGTTTGTGCTCTGCATACTGTTTTGTAGATTGACTTGTTATTTAAATTACCTTCCTTTACTTTAATTAACCGTGTTTTATTTAACCTGTTTTTGAACCCACTTCATCTTCCTTGGACTAAACGTTACAGCAACTAACTGAAATAAAAATGTAAAGTATTGAAATTACTAAAACTAAAACTATATAAATATAATTTAAAAATTAATTAAATAAATAATTAATAAATTAAATAGAATTATTAAAAAATGAATAAAAATGACAATAGCATATAAAAATGACTAAAACTAAAATGAAAATGAAAACTTAAAAAAGCTTAATAAAATGACAAAAGTACATCAAATTAATAAACAAACTAAATAATATAAATATAAAACTAAAAGCGAATTAAAAAAAATACTATAATAGTAAATTAATAATGCTGAAATTACATTGCATGCATCTAAGACTTTGGGACATGATCTAAGCTTCGGTTTGAGAAAACAAAAATCCATAATAAGCCCCAGAAACAGCCAAATATTATTTTTGGATGCGCACAGATTGTTTTGTTGATTTTGTGCATACAGTTTTTGAGTCTAAATCTTTTAAAAGTCAGAGCCGTACTTTGTGGTTTTGGAATGGCAAATAAAGTTACATTCACAAGCGCCGCTGTTATCCTGTCATAAATATCATGAACTACCAATGAATTATGAATCGTTTAATCGCAAAACAATATTCCACACATTACACCTTATTAGGAGGGTCTGCAAAGCACATGATGTTTGGACGCTTGGATCAGTGTATCGCTTGACGTGTGCAGTTGTATGCGTAAACTTTCAGACTAGGTCATTACGCAAGCGACTATAAGAAATGATTTCTCAGTTACAGCAATTAGTAGCACTGAGTCATATCTGCGCTTGTAAAAACAGTGTTTTGTAGCTGCGTTTTATGAGATCGAAACATGTGAGAGAATGTGTTTGCGTCAGTGTGTGGTTAGTTTCAGTGTGTACGTGTGTCCGACTTCACCCCAGGCTCAGGTCACTTACTTGTAGCTGTGTTCTTATCAGCCGTAGACTAAATCTAAAACACGCTGTACGTTATGCTTTAAGCCTCTTACCCCACATGCACAACAAAGAGAAACAATAGCCACAAAAAGAGAGAGAAATGAGAGGGAAACAAAAGGAGGAGAGGAACAACAGAATAATTAGGGGGAATGTGGAACAGATGGAGAGGGACGGGCCTCTCTCTGAGTGAAAAAAAGAGGGAGAGAGACTGGGTAAAAAAAATATGAGACGAATGTAAAAGATGGGAATGGGAACGATGGATAAAAAAGGTGAGGTAGGACAAAATTTTGGGGGGGGGGAAGAATCAGATTAGAATCAGATCAGAGCGAGTGAATGGATATTCAGGTCAGACAGAGCTGAAGGGGTGGTCTGGGGTTTGTGGTTTTGGACAGATGATATGTGCGAGCGAGCGAGAGAGGGTTTTGCCGCACTTGTTTGTGTGAGAGTGTATGTGCTGCCATGGGAACCGGCTAACGACAGATTATTTTCGCTTTAGGAACGTGTATAAGGACTACAGGCATCTGGAGCTGGCCTGTGACACTCAGGACGAGGTGGACAGCTGGAAGGCCTCTCTGCTGCGAGCTGGGGTTTACCCAGAGAAAACCACAGTAAGCAAAGGAACCCACTGGCTTCTGTACCTGTATGCTAAACCCTGCGGCCTAAAACATCAAAATAAAGGTTTCAGTTTAAACCAAAAAGGGCTTTATAGCCGGATGTTATGCGGATCTTTATAAGCTCCGCTCAGAACTTTTATTCCCTACTTCTTTACAAAACCAACACCATGTGCTTGTTGCTGTAAAAGAATAGTTTAAAAATGGCACATTTTTTTTGACTTTCGTTCTTTCGTGGAACACAAAAGGAGAAGTTCTGAAGAAAGTTCACGCTGCACTTTTTCATACAATGAAAAAACACTCTAAAAAAAGCACAATAGAAGTAGTCCATATGATATAATTTTCCAATCCTGTGTCCAAATATGCCTATTTCCCACCTACATAGACAGAAAAATTTATGTGGAGTGAGTAATATGTACAAATTCATACTATTTCTAAAACAGTAGGCGAATAGTACCTGGATGTCCTACTACTGTTGAAGTGCACATCTGATGGACACTTTACTATCCCCTACTATATAGCACACAATTTTTAATTGGTCACGAAATGTGTTCCTCATCAAATGTTGCTACTCAGACAATATATGCGATTTTGGGTGCTGCTCTTATCTCGTCTTTTTTTTTGTTTTTTTTCCTTTTTTTTTTGCCACCAAAGCTCTCAAACGTAATTTGCATTTACACACATTCAAATTTCAAGGCGAATGGTTACGAGACATGAATATGAGATTCTAGCATATAACAATGATTTCAGAATGTTTCTCACACATGTCTTATGGTTTCTTAAGACTTGAACTAGTGCACAACTCATGGAGAAATTTTATGATGCTTTTCTGTTCTTTTTTGCACTTTCATTCATTTCTATTGCATGTAAAGAGCAGCATGAACATTATGCCTAATGTTTTCTTTTATGTTCCATAGAAGTAAGAAAGCCACAGGGGTTTGAAACAACATGAGGATCTAAATGATGACAGTATGTTCACTTTTGAGTGAATTATTGAATCAGAAACCAAATATGCTGATCTGAAGAACCTATGAAAAGTATCAGCTTTTGGCAATCTCCAAAGAATCAAATATAAAGCAACTCAAGAACCCTTTACTGAACCTGAATGAATTAAAATTATGTCATCAATTACTCAGCCTTATGTCGTATCAAGCCAATAAGATCTTTTCATCTTCAGAATGCAAATAAATATATATTTAACGAAATCTGAGAGATATCCTTTCTTTCATTGAAAATCCATTCCAAAAATCCATGGATTACTTTACTGTTGTCTTTATGGACTTTCTGAAGTGTCAAATTTTTGGTGGAATGAATTTTCAGGGGAGGGACAGAAATCTCGTTTCATCAGAAATATCTTAATTTGTGTTTCGAAGATGAACCCAAAAGAAGTTTTGAACAAGATTAGGGTGAGTTGAGGAACCATTGAAGAACTTTTATTTTTAATGTGCACCAGTCTGCACAAGCTGCAGTGTTCTAAGAAACATAAAGAGATTATACGTTCACGTAATAACCAGGCCCACATGGAATCCATGCACACAGAGCGTTGCAGAAACCTTCACAGATTCCCGCAGAACTGCAGCGCCTGGCGCTCATAAATGTTTTAACACATTTCACATTTTATTGCACAGAATTCTACAGATTTTGCCCTAAAATCAGTGCATGGAAAGTTTGCCGATTCCATCTAGGCCTTCTAATAACTGTGCGCTGTAGTTTGGATAACTCTGGCTCCTGTAGTGTTTCTCTCTGTGTGTGTGTGTTTGACTCTACGGCTGCAGGCTTCATGGTGGCTGTGCTCTGGGGTCAGGAGCTCTGCTGCATTCCTCAGCTCTTGTGTCACACCATGGAGGATCAGCAAAGGAGGGGGCTTTGAGCTCTGTTTCTAATCAGCTCCCTTGCCTCTTTTTTCTTCACGCTCCCCTCCATCCCCCTTTTTCTGTCTTTATGTCTGCTTTGGAGCAACATGTCGAGTGATGTCACAGTTCTGTCAGAGTTCCCCATAATTCGTTCTGACAGAAGTCTACCACACCCCCTCCGAAAGTCACTAAAGTAAAGGTCGTTTTTCCCTTGCTTCTTTCCTTTTTCCTTGCCCCACCCCCCCCAACATCTCTTTTCCAGCTTGGTTCTCTTTATGTATGTGCACTCATTGCCCTCTGAAACATCTTTGTCATCCCTCAATGTTGACTGTACCTTTCCTGTCCAGATTTGCCCACATCTTCATCTGTCTTTTTTCTGATTGCTCAGGTGGATGGAGAGGATTCAGCTCAGGTGGAGAGCTTCTCCATGGACCCTCAGCTAGAGCGTCAGGTCGAGACGATCCGCAACCTGGTTGACTCATACATGAGCATCATCTACAAAAGCATCCGCGACCTGATGCCCAAGACCATCATGCACCTTGTCATCAACAACGTCTGTGCCCTCTGCATCTAACACTGATACAGAAGGAAAACAATGAATTGAAATCAAATATATTTGCTTACAAAAATTAAACTAGTAGAGCTTTATGTAAGATGCAGAGATATGTATTTATTCATACATTTGTATACTATAAAAATAAACCATATCATGTTGACATTAAGTCTCCCCAGCAGGTACATTTGTTTTACATTAGTGTTTTATTTACAGTATTTATTACATTATTAGATTATTAATTAATCATTGCAACCAATGTACTGTACAATTTCATAGCTTTTTTTTGTTGTTAATTTTATAGCTTTTATAGTTAGTATGCCTTAAGATGTAATAAAATTATACTTCCATACACTATAAATTATTAACTGAAAACTGAGACAGTTTTCAAATATCTAAGTATAGTAATGTATACATTTAAAGTATATACAGTGCAAAACTGTTTTGCACTTACATTGTAAAAAGAAATAGTATTCAAAATCTAGGTTGGGTTAGTTTGAAAATGTGTAATTCTCAGACCTTCGCTCAGAAAGAAAATCATATTTTAAGGCAGTATTGTGCAAATATATTGGCATATTTCAAAATATTGTTTTGAACCTGACAGAGTTTTGACACCATGCAAAAATTTCTGGTTTTCAGTGTAATTCAAGGAATAGTTCACCCAAAAATGAACATTTCATGTTTATCTGCTTAAGTTATGGTTGGTTGCTCTTTGGCTGGATATCAACACACCCATTAACGTAAACTACGCCAGAGCGCATACACACCTCACGCACCGGATCCCTGCGCGCGCTCAAAGCAGTTGGACATAGTGGTGTATTAGAGGTAAAATATGATATAAATACTGTTCGGTTTCTCGCACAAACCAATCATTTCGTGTCTTAGGACATCAATGTGTCGTCACGAGCCGCAGGGTTTAATTTGGATTTGTCCGTGCATGTTTTTTTTTTACTCTCATAGATTTTGTTACCATTGCCATGCATTATACGACTGATAGACTTTATGTAAGATGCAGAGATATGTATTTATTCATACATTTGTATACTATAAAAATAAACCATATCATGTTGACATTAAGTCTCCCCAGCAGGTACATTTGTTTTACATTAGTGTTTTATTTACAGTATTTATTACATTATTAGATTATTAATTAATCATTGCAACCAATGTACTGTACAATTTCATAGCTTTTTTTTGTTGTTAATTTTATAGCTTTTATAGTTAGTATGCCTTAAGATGTAATAAAATTATACTTCCATACACTATAAATTATTAACTGAAAACTGAGACAGTTTTCAAATATCTAAGTATAGTAATGTATACATTTAAAGTATATACAGTGCAAAACTGTTTTGCACTTACATTGTAAAAAGAAATAGTATTCAAAATCTAGGTTGGGTTAGTTTGAAAATGTGTAATTCTCAGACCTTCGCTCAGAAAGAAAATCATATTTTAAGGCAGTATTGTGCAAATATATTGCATTTTTCAAAATATTGTTTTGAACCTGACAGAGTTTTGACACCATGCAAAAATTTCTGGTTTTCAGTGTAATTAAAGGAATAGTTCACCCAAAAATGAACATTTCATGTTTATCTGCTTAAGTTATGGTTGGTTGCTCTTTGGCTGGATATCAACACACCCATTAACGTAAACTACGCCAGAGCGCATACACACCTCACGCACCGGATCCCTGCGCGCGCTCAAAGCAGTTGGACATAGTGGTGTATTAGAGGTAAAATATGATATAAATACTGTTCGGTTTCTCGCACAAACCAATCATTTCGTGTCTTAGGACATCAATGTGTCGTCACGAGCCGCAGGGTTTAATTTGGATTTGTCCGTGCATGTTTTTTTTTTACTCTCATAGATTTTGTTACCATTGCCATGCATTATACGACTGATAGACTGCAACGGCTGGAGTTAAAAATCATAATTTGTGTTCTACTGAAGAAACAAAGTCACCTACATCTTGGATGCCCTGGGGGTAAGCAGATAAACATCAAATTAAAATTTTTGGGTGAACTATCCCTTTAATTTGACCATCTTTTTGGCCCAATTCATTTTATGTTTAAAAAACAATTCCATAATATTTAGTTTCTCTGTGGTTTGTATTGACTTAAAGGGATAGTTCACTCAAAAATGAAACTTTGATGTTTATCTGCTTACCCCCAGGGCATCCAAGATGTAGGTGACTTTGTTTCTTCAGTAGAACACAAATGGAGATTTTTAACACAAACCGTTGCAGTCTGTCAGTCTTATAATGGAGGTGAATGGGAAACACAGCTTTGAGAGTAAAAAAAAACATTCACAAACAAAACCAAATTAAACCCTGCAGCTCGTGACGATACATTGATGTGTAAAGACACAAAATGATCGGTCTGTGCAAGAAACTGAACAGTATTTATATCGTTTTTTTACCTCTGATTCACGCAATGTCCGAACTGTTCGAACTTTCCTGAGTGGCGGTGCGTCCTCCTGAGCGTGTTCTCAACAGCAGGCGCGTGAGGCGTCTTCTTCTTCTTGCTTTACGGCGGATCGCAGACTTATAAGTGCATTACCGCCACCTAGGTGACACTTCTCCGGGAAAGTCAGACCTCGCGTTTGCGGGACAGCACTGGCAAAATCTTCCAACTGAACCATAGCTAAGGTTTAACCAAAAAAAGTCGCTAGGTTTGTCAGTATGAATATTCTATGGAAAAAAGCCGCTAAAAGGGTCTGAAAGTTGCTAAATCTAGTGCTAAAGTCGCGCTTGTGTGTGTGTGTGTGTGTGTGAGACACGGGAGTTGATGGCAGGGGGTGGTGGATATTTGTGGCGGTCAATGTGGATATTGTGGATGAGTTCTTCTGTGTCATCACGTTCTATTAGTTCTACAGCTTCAGTTTCGAAACTTTCACGCTTAGTAACACATACAGCTGTTCCCTCAACACAGTCCAACAGTGAAAAGGGACCCCTTTCAAACAGTGTCGCATTCCGAACGTTGTTTAAGCGACATGCACCGGTATTACGGTATTTGAAAAATTCATATCATAACAAAAATAAACACCGGTATTCGGTATGAACCGGTATACCGCCCAGCACTACTATCAATATAAAGTCTTTACACATATTGTTGTGGATGATGTGTGAGTAGTTGAGTAGTATCAGCTAGTCATGTGATATCAACATGACAGACGCCATGAGAGGGGTACAGACCATCTTAATTCAGAATAAAACACCTTTTTCAAGGCAACAGATATTACCGTTTCCTCTCAGTTTATATAATTTTTGTCTGAAGTCCTGTTTATTTCTTGTTTGTTAAACTTTTTTCTACATTTCTATGTTCTCCACCCATAGGTAGAGGAGTTTATCCACTCCGAGTTGCTGGCTCAGTTGTACTCCTCAGGAGATCAGTACTCTCTGATGGACGAGTCTCCTGAACAGGCCCTGCGCAGAGAGGAGGTGCTGCGTACTCACACTGCCCTGAAGGAGGCTCTAAACATCATCACTGACATTTCCACCTCTACCATCTCCACCCCGTTGCCACCCCCAGTAGATAACTCCTGGCTCCATAGTGGCTCTCTTCACCGAAGGTACCTCAGCCCTATACTTTCTGTTCAAGATGTCTTCATCATCACTCCTCCTCATCTAGTCGTGCTGTTCTTTACTTGACCCTTAGAATTTAATCAGTACTCTGGCACATAATTAATAGCGGACCATTTGCACTCACATGGACTGAATCACCAGGATTCCAGGAAATATCATGGCATTTTCACTGTGTTTTCCAGGCCTAGGAAAAAATGATTGAGATTAATAACAAATTGAAAGTCATAGATTTTTTTTATAAGAGCTTGATGCTCTTGTGTAGAGTAAAAGCACTAGTGTTGTCTGATGCAAACAAGTCTTTCTTTGGGGGGCGGTTCTGTTCAAAGAATCGTTGAACCAGTTCGCAAACCAGTCTGAATAATTTATTAGCGAATCATTCTGAATCAAAATGATTCTTTAAAATCCATATCCAGTAACCACAAATGACTGCAAATGGAAATGACTGGTAGTGGAAATGTTGTGGCCCACCCAAACAGCTAATGCGCCTCTCTCTCTCTCTCTCTCTCTCTCTCTCTCTCTCTCTCTCAGGTCTCCTCCAGGTTATAGTGTCCCTAAAAAGCATCCTGCTCCGCCTGCTCCTTCTCTACCAATTCGCTTGGAAGCTCCTGCCCCACCGGTCTCCAACAGCATAGACACCACCAACACTACCAGCCGCCCCAAACGAATCCCTCCTAGTGTTCCCAGGTAGACAGTCCATTTCAACAAACACAATTTCTGCACGCTAAAACCACACATGTGTTCTCTCCATCAACAACACAGCTGAACAAACTTTTGATTAATAAAGTACCCAGTGACTAGAGGACTTGAATCAGATGTGTCAGCACTGAAATAGGCAGAATATTTGAAACGAACCCAGTGACCTGTAACTACACCGCATTTTTAAACAGTATTTCAACAATTTTCCAAGCTTGAAAGCTGTGGTGAACTTGTGGTTTCCCCTTTCCCAGGTTTCATCTTCTGTGAATCCATGTTGTTGCAAACTACGTATGAACCAAGGAGGTCTGTAAAGGTGTGTCACATTAGCAAAAATTTGTGTGCAAAAAGGTCCATTGTCAATAGCATAGAGGTGTTTGAAGCACTGCTCACACTGAACTTACTTTCAAACCAAGCAGCTTTTGATTGGTCACTGCAACCTGACCAGCTTTAACGTTAACTTTTTTTGCCCTCAAGTGCAACTGGTCTTGCAGATTTCTATGAGAATGACTGTATTTCACCCACAAAATTTTTCCAAGCAACAGTAAATGTGACCGCACCTTAATACAGAGAGAAAGCTATCCGTTAGCATTCCTTTCCACCTCAACGGCAGTCCCTTGGCAGACATAGGTCCCCATGGAAGTATATGATCTGAAATGTGCCATATTTCCTCTCGGACCACATAAACTTTTAATGCAAAATAAAGAGCAAAAGAATCAGGAGTGTAAAGCCCAAAGTATACCTCAGACTCATTCGCTTGGCGTATGTTCAGCTCAATGCATATCCTTTCAAGGTATACTCCATTTGATAGTGTGCATGAACACAGGTGCTTGACACAAATACACTAGAAAGTTTTATCCTTGTCAAGTGTCTGTGCAACTTTGTTATGAGCGATTAAAAATGTCTTTGAACTCCCTCCCACAAGCACTCGTCAACACGGATTTGTGCACAATTTTTCCTGGCAAAGGTTTATTCTATTCTTAAAAATACAGAGATCTGGCATGAAACTCTAGATGGCGCAGTCCGATAGGTCTAACTCAATCTGACCTAATGACATCATTATCACATGGTACAGCTGATTGGTTCTTTCCTGTATCGGTAGCCAATTAGCTCGCTGCTCAACATTCAAATATATGACTAGTGCTTGCCGTAGCAGCTGCAGCTTACTTCAGAAACCCTCCACCTTCCCCAGCTCCACCTGTATAGATCTGCTACGAGGTGATTCATGTATGCTATATGGGGTTATTTCATGTGTTATATTTGCAGCAGCAATATCTCTTACATGCTCACAGCAGCATGTTGTGGATGTGTTGGTAGTAGCAAGTCTCGGTACTTGCTCAGCAGCAGCGTAGCAGATCTATTCCGCCAAGAC